AAGGTATAAGAGTTTCATCAACGACATCCCGATAAACCTAAATCAATTCGATGATAGCTTCTTTCTAAAGCTTGTTCTCCCAACAATATAAGAAAAGGGGAGAGCACCAGTAAAATTCATAGTTGATGTAGTTATTTTCTCCAAGATAGATCGTAGTTTGGTCTTTTGATATGGATAGCCAAGAGATAGATACTATGCCAATCAGAGTATCGCAACCGAGTAGCTCACGAAGGCGACCCCGAGATGAAGAACTACATGTACCACGACGACGACGGAGGATACCGAGTAACCGATCACTGGTGATCGTATTTGAGATCGAGCCTGCTTACGATGGTCAACCAGAAGGCGTGTTTGCAGGACAATTTCACAATGAGCACACGGAAGTTCATGCTTGGTCAGAAGTCGAAGGCGTGGGCCACTATCGTTGGCTTCAAGGGTCGATGAACCACTTGCCTCGTGAACAACAGTTGGAGTTCATAGCAGAAGTTATGCGACAGATCTTCATTTTCTTGCGTTGGTACTGATCAACAACATTACTTCTCAGAGACCTTGAAGCTAAAGGAGGGGATGATGTTAGGGACATATTCCTTAGAACTTTCTAGAGAGAGGTTTCTAGAACCTTCTAGAAAACAAGCCTCTGAAACCTTCTAGAAGAGAAGCCTTTGGAACCTTTTAGAGAGAAGTTTCTAGAAGCTTCTAGAAAGGAAGTCTCTGGAATCTTCTAGAAGAGAAGTTTCTAGAAGCTTCTAGAAAGGAATCCCCTGGAACTTTCTAGAAGCTTCCTAGTTAATAAAAGTAGCTCGAGAAGTTTCTAGAACCTTCTAGAAAGGAAGCCTCTGGAACCTTCTAGAAGCTTCCTAGTTAATAGAAGTAGCTCGAGAAGCTTCCTAAGTAAGAGTATATATAGGGATCGAGGCTGAAGAGTTCTTCAGTCTCAACAACACATCTCTTAGAGTTCTAGCTCACCTTTCTGGTGTTGTTCTTGTACTCATCTGTTTAATCTAATTTTGCCACTTCTTCTTGAACTTCTTGTTAGATTTCAAGTCTGTATTTTGTGTCCGTGACAGCCACTCAAACAACCTCATATCTTAAGCAACCTTATGAAGGTGCAAATTCATCTTGTATATCTCTTATATATATGGTCGACCACAAAGATTGATTATAAGCCTTAGATAGTGAATTTTCCTATAATTTTGAATTACTTGATGCTTATGGCTATTAGCTAATATCATTGTTGTAGCACGAGTAACAACTTATAATATTAACTATTAAGCACAAGATTAATGATAAAAATATATAAAATAGTAATTCTAAAAATAAAATCAATGATGTATTGGACACAACATCCATAATTTTGAAATGATTTGCCAAACATCCATACTTCAAGAAAAAGTATGCCATGTATATCAACTTTTTTAATTATCTATTCTACAAAAAAATTAAATTTAATTCAATCTTCAACATCTATAAATATGCATTAAAAATCCAATACAAACACCATTATATGCACCAAAGATTTGCAGCAGCAATACAAAAATCGTATGGTGGTTAAGAACCATTCTATGGTGATCAATCCTATTCTTGCAAAACAATGTCAAAAAATTCCTACATTATAAACATCTTAAGAAAAAAATGTGAGATATCTTAGAAGATGAAATATTATTTGCATAAGATAATCATATCCATCTGCAATAATGTTATCTACTCAAGGAGCTTGTATATGTCTGTAGATGATATCTACCAAAATACCCTCATGGCATGGTCTCAAAGGAGCAATAAACAAGGATATAAGGTGATATTATGATGCTGCCAAAATTATTAAGGGTGTAATAAAGTAGAGGCTTATTTAAAGGTTGGAGAAAGCACAATAGAGTAGTCAAGAAGTAATACAAAACTTAAAAAGTCTCAAATAGTAGCACCACAAATTAAGTAGTGTTGGGCCGGTTGTTTTGTATTTCTAATTGAATATTAAATTAGGCCTTGTTCTTTTTTTGATTATTGTGTGTAATGAATTTGGTTTGATAAGATCTTGTCACATACTTGCCAATAATCTCAAAAGCTCAAGTAACACAATGTATGTGCATTATCTATTTTATGCAAATATCTATGGTTGTTAGTTTTATGAACTTGATTTGGTTTTGTTTTTTTTTTTTCTATATTTTCTTTTTTTTCTTTTTTTTTCTTTTCTTAATAAATCCATTATATAATTTTGCATAATAAATATTTTAAACATGTTTTTTTTTTAATTTTTAGGCATAAAACCTTTAAATTGATGTTTTAAAAAAAAATGTGTCAACTCTCTTGAACTTTGATGTTTTACTTTTTTATCTATTAAAAAATCTTATGAATACATCTTGGGTTTAATTAAAAATATTCAATATAAAAATTATTTTTAAATTATAATTTAATAATTTATAGATAAATTTTTAAAATAATGAGTTTAAATATTTCTGTTTTAAATATTAAACAATTACAATTAGATTATGGTATATATCTATATATATTTATTATTAAAAATATTGTGTATAGTCACTATATTTCAATTAGCCTTAAATGTATATAAGCAAGTGTAGTTCTTCTATTTTATAAATGGACACCTATATAAAATACTTACATTAAGAATTCTATTGATTTAATAAATATAAATTTAAAAAAATATATATTACTTGATGACATTGAAATATATCTCAAGTATTTATTAGAAAAAAATATATTAAATAATAAATTAATATATATATATAAATAAAATATTTTTTGAATAAAGATATATAATAATTATATTAATACAATAATTATTTTTTATTTTCATAGAATTTTATATAAATTTATAAAAATAAAATTTTAATTTAATATTTTAATATCAAAGCTCATCAAATAAAAATTATTAAGCATATTGTTTAAAATTTTCAGTTATAATATATCTTGAGTCTTAAAAAAATATTTTTTTAAAACTCTTATAGTTCTATGTCAAAATTTCGTACTTAAGATTAATAAAATTGATGAATGTACATATATGCAAGCTTTTTTATAATTCAAAGGAATTTTTGTTATTACCAAATGTCCTACTTCTTAATTCTATGCACACATGCATTGCAGGTCTTTTGGCAAGTATTGTAAGGAATATGTATATTGAAACATTAAAAAAAAATTATCTTGGATCCTTGAATCTAAAAGTGAACTTATATTAGATTTTTCTTAAGAAAACTTAAATAAATTATATGAGAGTGTTAACATATGGTGATCTAAGGCCAATTTTAAAATTAATTGTGGAATGAGATTGTTGGATGTTAGGAACAAACAAGAAGTTGGAAGTAGAAGTACTTTGACATTATAGTAGCTATTATTACTTGAGCAAATATTAACTATTGAGTGTATATGTGGGTGTCTATTGAGTATTAGAAAATAAGGAATTATGATCAGCTTGTCAAATATGGTATCATAGATTCTATTCAATCTTTTACTAGAGAAATAAAAAAAATTGTTATAATATCTAGAGATAACAACTTAATCTTTTTAAAGAGTAAAATTGACCATATAGAATACTTGTATATTATTCTATATCCTTATTCTATTAAATATATGTATTACTTAATTTAAAATTAATAAATTGCAATGAGATTATTTTTATGCACTCTTACAAACTATTGTTTTTACATACCAATAATTATTATTAACCAAAGTATAAATATTTTTAATGAACATAATTTCTTAATTAATTTAGCATCCAATCATTATAATGTATCATCATTTCCTATATCATATACATATCTATAGCCTTGAATCTTACAAGTCTTTTTTTTTCCTTAAAAAATCCGTTGTATAATATTGTATAATAAATATCATTGATATGGTTCCCTAATAAATTAGGATTCAACCTTCTAAAGTTAATTTTTTGAATAACAAGCAAGTTGGACTTCTTTAAGTTTCATGCTTCAATTTACTTTAAATTTAAAACATCTTTGTTCTAAAAATTTCTAAATAACGTCTTTTGCTTATTACTTTGATATTTTACATAGCACAATAAAATAAAATAGAAATTAATAATGTTGTAAAAAAATATTATTATTATATATATTCTTATTTTTTATTTACTATAAAAGAATATTTTGAATATATCAATAAATTTTGAATCTAAAAAATCCTTTCAGTAGGCCTAATCAATCTATCTATATTGGTGGTTTTGGTCATCAATCAATATTCTTTGAAAAAATGGAAATATAATCAAGGATCTTTTATCTTTAAATATTTATAAAAATCAAGAAATTTAATAGAAGTATAATAATGTTAAATAAAAAATCTCTTGATTGTAGAAGATATTTGGTTTAGTTTTGGTCTTAGATATCTTTATAAATTAAATTTATACATGGTTATTTAAACAATTATCTATAAGTAATGAGTTTTAATATAATATTAGAAGTATTATCATCAACTAAGAGTCACAACACAATGAGACTTGTGATACTCTAATAAAATGAACATTTCAAGTAAAGTATGAGTAGATTGTATTTATTAGTTAATAAGTTCTTATAATAACACAATTTTTTATGAGTATCCAAAATATTATAATTTTTTCTATTTAAATAAATCCTCACATATGACTAGCAATAACAAGGATTAATTTACTAATTTTTAAATTAAACTAAATAAAATTTTATATATATATATATATATATATATATATACATAATGAGCAATTTTTTATATCTAAGTTCTAATTATAGGCTCTTCCTCTTGACAAGTTGTGCTGGTAATGTGCTAGAAACAAAGACACCTGAGGAATGCTGGTAATACAGTATGGAATAGAAGAAGAAACGTCCCTTGGCAGCCGCTTCACACAAAAAGTAGGTTTAGGTGGATCATTGCATACGTTAGCACTGACCGCGTTCAGACAACGCAATGAAACAGTCCATCGACGTGGGTTAAGACATGATAATGTTGAATCCCTCGGCGAAACAAGTTGCACAATATTTAAAACTGGATGTTGTCTTGAGGAATGTGCGGGTTTTTTTTTTTTTTTTTTTTTTTTTTTTTTACTTGAATAGTTTGTTCACTGGACGTCTGGAATAACTGGTTTGGTCCCAAACGCCGACACCGCTGAGCCGATCAAGATCGAACTGATGCCATTTACAGTCGAATGTAGATGAAGATATCTTGTCAGTACCCAAGAGCATGCCTCATATATCTGGGTACTAGGAAAACATGAACAGGGCTAATTGTAGGAGAGCGATTGAAGCACCTGAAGGAATGTGCTAAGGAAGGATCCCTTGAGATGGATAATTTTTTCAGTTTCGGTACCTGGGAGGCTAGATCTAAGAGCTGATATGTTTTATTATCATGATGACTTACAAAGCTTCACAGTGGCGAAACAGTATTACTTAGATTGGTTTCCATTTTTCTCTTTGATCTAACTTGTATTCTTCTGGAAGTATGTCTATAATTATATCTTGAAGATTTGAACTTGTAGCATTGGTGTAATCATCTGATTGAGTTGGGCGTTCTTAATTCATGTGATAGACCTGAGGATCCTAAATCTACTTCATGGCTGCTTCTCTTGTTTCCTTTCCTATGCATTCGATCGTGACTTCCGCGTTTCGCTCACTTCACAATTGAAATGACTCCTCTGAAGATGGGACGAGTTCCGAGATTCCTGCTGTGCTGACGGAAACTGGGTTACACCAAAGTGAGGTGAAATTCTGGGGTGCGCCTCCGTCGTGTGGTGGATCAATCAGCTGCGAGAGGTATTAGTGAATTCATACCACTGTAATATGGTGGCTTCTGGAGCCTCAAGTCTTTTTGGGGCTTAACAGAAGCAATTTGCGAATTTTCTGGGCAAGCAATTGTGGTGTGAAATTCTTCATTGAGAGGTATCATCGGGCGAACAAAAGAGATCACCTCACATCCACATATCCAGGATAACTTCCTCAATGGCAAAGCGTTTGGTTGATGTTCACGTGTTTATATTTCTGTGATACATTCCGTGATCGCGTGCGAATCTGTGTCGCAGTTTTGCCATGCTCGAGACAGGGCTAAATATAACACGAGTATTCCTCGTGTCATGCTACTTACTATTCCAGGTAAATTGCAACCAATATCCTCTATACGCTTGTGAAAGTCTGGTTTGTTTGGCCTGTTTGGCTTGCAATTTTACAACCATCCTTTACCTACGCAGGTTTTATACTCGAGGAATTACTCTATCTGCATCACATTGCTTTTTCCCACACCCATTCCCATGGGTTGGATCACGGTAGAGCTTTTCTGCTACCTCGAAAGCAACCACATGTTTCCTACTGAGCTCTATAATGCCGTAGATGGCAAGGAGACTCACCCACAAAGTCTTCGATATTCCAAATATGCCATGTCTGACAGAGACTTTTCACTCTCAAAACTCCACAAATACTCCTTCAGTACTGTACGGAGACGAGCGTTGCGCGAGGGTGCGAATTGTTCGCCGAGAATCTATTCTTTGCGACCACCATGTTTTCTGCAGGAGCCCCAGATAATGGTGACTGACCCCGCTCAACTTATAGAGAACCCAGAAGTGGACAGAGTGCTCGCATTTTTATTTCCTTCCTTCGCATCCAGCAGGTAGCGCTGAGAATTCTTCTTGTGCAAGTTGTACGTGATTACCGCTGTTGTTTATGGATTCGGGTTCACCTTGAGCAGTGCCCAATATCCGTGTCAGTAGGGTGACAGAAAAATTGAACATTCTTCTTCCCTAACTGAATGATGCTCCCAGTTTCAATGCCAAGCCACCCACCTTTCCGGTTTTCACCACAAAAGCACTTTTACCTCGAAATGAGTTTCTAATGTCTAGCTCTACATTGCCGAGGAATCTTCGTACAGGATTCAGATCGAAATAAGTTTCCAGCGATCTGAATCCTGTACGAAGATTCCTCGGCAAAGTTCCTTTGTATGCACAATTTTCTTGTTGCACCCAGCAATGTGGAGTATATAAACGCCTATCAATTCACTTCCCGAAGAGACCAATGGAAGATTTTCTGTTGTGATTGAAAGACAGGGAGATCAGTTTTTTATTTCTAAAGTTTAATAAGAAAACAATATAAGTAGACATCAGATCAAGATGATTTACACAACTTTCCTACCCTGCGTGGAAGCGACGCTGTATCCACATCCACTTCTCCATGTACAGTTTTGCATAACCTCTGAAGTTAACAAATTGTGACAACACCCGCTCTCAGGTATACAAAGTTCATACTCTTTTGGAAATGGAAGTAGACATGAAACAAGAATCTTGTTAGGAATTTCATTAAAATAAAAATGACGTTTGTATCATGCTGTAGATTGGGATAAGCCAGATAAAAAAGTTAAATATCAGAGTTTTGTATCATAGGAACCTCCTGTGGGTCGAAAGAGAATTGTTATCATCCAAAGAAATCTAAGTTACGCCATAACAAGGATTTGCACTTAAATCTCACGAGAATGGTAAAGAATACACTTTCGTTATTTACTTACTGACAAATGCGAGTCGGGTATGAATCACTGAACGGAGGTGAGTCCAACCAGGTTCAAGACAGAAAGCTGACTTGGAATCACTCGATTGAACTAAAGTGATTTTCCAAGAAAACCATTCACAATCAATGTCAGCAGAACATTGCAAAGTACCTATTTCAGGCAAATAAAAATACGAAGCATTTCATCTGCGTGCACTCGGGACAGTATAGCTTCAGTCAAAACATAATTGTAAGTGTTCCCTTCAGTGCCTTATACAAACAAGTCAAGATACAGCTTATCAGATACTAACAAGAAAAGTTGGATAGAGAACTAACACGTCAGATTGATGGGGCCCAGGAGAATCAACAACCACATTCAGGTTGTCTCATATCCCACTACCAATTCCCATCTCTCTTGTTCTCTTTCAACCCAGCCTTTTCATTAGAAACTCTTGTACACATCCACATTTCAACTGAGTCTTGTATACATCCACGTCCTACACATTCTTTGGCCCTTCTACCCTGAGAAAGCTAACCAACATAAAGCTATTTGCACCTCGAAACGAACAGAGTAATTTCACTGTCCTCGGACTTGGATACAGAACCAGCACCTGGATCTGTGAATCTTCATGGTCCTTAATGTGTTCAAATTAAGCTAATGCATATTTTGAGAGGACATTCACGTTGAAGAAGTCCATTCTACAATCTATGCATATCAATGTCTTCACAACAGTGACATTATAAATTGCGTCTCTGAACAGTCATTGATCACCTGTGCCTCCAGAGGATTCTGCAGGAATAGCATCATCCTGCTCGAAGCTTGCTCCAGTGTCTTTACCAGGAGTTTGACCAACTGTAAGCAAAGCATGCTTGCCCCCTTCAAACATAGCCTTGAACTCCAGTAGATACTGAGTCACCTGTAGAGTATATCAACACAACCGACTTAAGAGGAAACAAAAGGCAATACCATTTCTGAGCAGAAAGAATGAAAAAAGAATTTGGAGATAGTGAACTGAGAGTACAGGGTGTACATATGCTGTAAGTAGAGGGCAGAGTAGAAAAAACATTAGATACCATCCTCCTATGTGAAGTTTGCACAGAAAAAACAACCAACATAGGCTATATTTGCCTTGGCACAACATATGTGAGAAGCAATCATTGGCATCAATGTCAACTAAGAAAGCACGTTTTCAGTGTAATAAATTCTCAGACCGTAACTATACATACAGGATCGTTTTCAAAGAGGGGTCACCAGATCACACTTGACATTGATCAATTACAGAAACATCAATAGATGTTACTTGTGACAAAAAACTTGTTATGTCTCATTTGTGTGTCGTACCTCCTCCAAATTATGCTCTAGTTCTGAGACACGTTGAGTCTTCTCCTGCAGCTGACGTTCAGTCTCTTGCAGACGAGTTTTCAACTCATCCCTCTCCTTCTCCACACACAGAGCTACTGCCTTCTTCTGTTCAAGTCCCAGCCCCATCACGATTCATCCATGCCCTGCCCTTGACTCAGGCTCAATCACTCTTTTTTCCCTTTCCCCGGCCCTGTGTAGCTGGACTGAGGCTAACATTAGCTGGTCATTACCAAATGTTCCTTATCCTTTTTGGTTTACAGAGACAGACACACATGATCTACTCACTCTCTTAACAATGCTTCAAAGTAAATAACAATACAGGGTGCTAGAAAACTATCTCCAACCGATTAAAATGCTTGGAAACCAACCTCGTCAAGGGATTCTGGTTTCAATACAATATCACAATGGTCAAGCGCTTCGTTCATTGCTTCTTCTGCAGCTTTCTTTGCAGCTTCAGCTTCAGCTCGAGCTTCTTCGGCAATCCTAAGTGCAGCAACCGCCTGTTGGTGAAGGAACTATTAGTGAAGGAAAATAATAATAATAATAATAATAATAATAATGATAATCTTCGATACGACATTATTCTGTATAAGCTATATCTTTTACTGCCTGATCAAAACACCGTAAATAATGAAAAAATTATGTGTCAGTTATAACCTGTGCTGCAGCCAGGCCTGCTGCCACTTCTGCCCGTCGAGCTCTCTCATTGCTGGCCCTAGCTTTCTCTTCTGCACTGCTGAAAACCTCCCATGTGGTATCCTCTTCGTCTTCGAGCTCGCTGTCAATACCAGCGTCATCTCGCGCATTCACTGAATGAGTCTCTCCAAGAGACTCCCATTCACGTCCCTTCCATTCCTTTGATTCTCTTTCAAAACTTCGATCATTATCTGTACATATGCAGATAATTTTCATTTAAATTTGATACAAGGTGATGATTGAGCAACGTTAGCTCAACTCCTGCAACTAAAGCTATCACTCTACAGATAATTTTTTCAAAACCACTTGTGACATTTACTCCGTAGTTGCCACATTCACAAAGTTATCTACCGAAACCCTAGAATGGAACATCCACCAGCTCTTCCAACATATAAGAATAAGAATTGGTTACATAAAAGAGAATGCAGCAAGAAACTTTGCAGACCTCCAGAGCTCTTGAAACTGCCGTGTCGCTTTAGACCATTCTGTTGAACTGTCTCTCGACGGCGTACTCCCAAACAAGGGCCCATACTCTTTTCATCAGAGACTTTGTCTCCAGAAGAAGACCCTCCATCATCTCCATCCCTAAAGTTCAGAAGTTCCCCTTCTTTAGCCACTTGAAGTCGACCTAACCCGTCGGACTCTTCATCTACCAACACCTGCATATTTCAAAATACTCTTGTTTGTTAAAGGATACATCGACAATCAATAAAAATAAGGGTGAACTTAAAAAAATTGAGAGGTCAAAAAGATTATCTCAAACGATTAGAATGTCACAGGTGCACACAAAGTGTAACATGGTGGCGGCCAAGTATCATCCGAGTGTAAAAGACTGTTCAAAAACTGACACATGTACTGAGACAAAGACATGAAAGGGTGCACTCATAAGCATAAACCTAAATCACGATCATCGCAAAACGCCACAGTCAAATAATAAACCTTGTCAGGTCGAATGCATTCATGTTGCAAGAATGAACAAAAAACACCAACCTGAAGAGCTACAGCCTCCGCAAGAGCAGCACCTTCCTCGTCTAGTCTCTGCTCTTCCTCTTTTCGCCGCTGTTTCTTCTTCTCAAGCTCGGTCCGAATGGCGGCAGCGGTGGCAAGAGCCTTCTCCAGACGTCGTTTTTTCTTCTCTGCCTGCTTCAGTCGGTCTCTCTCCTCCTTCGCTTGTTTCTTTTTCTCTTTCCGGGAGCTTGCGGTAGCTGAAAAGGGCACAGCACTGGGGCTCACCCCTGGGGTAGCACTGTCCACCACTGGCATTTCCCTAATGTCTCTTTCATACATGGAATTCCTATTCCCAAATGTTCCTGGTTGACAGGTGAGGTCACAAATATAACTAGAAGAAACTGGTCATCGAGACACTGATGCGGAAGAAAGACTAAGATAGATCTGGGGTCTTCAGCAGATTCAAGGTACACAGTCTTGCAGAAATCTCTTGTGAGGTCAATACACGACACTCATACTCACGTTGTCCGTCTACAAGGATATTTTTCAGCACGTAGCAAAGATACTGAATCCAAGTAGCTTGCTACCCAGTTTCATGGTAGTATCAATCCATGTTTGAAATAACATAAGGTGCTCAGCTGTATGTTAAAAAACTTGTTATCTGCAATCACAATCCCACGGTACTACAGGAGATTCATTGTTGTTCACCACCACAACCTGTTGTTGCCCCAAAACAATCAGCTTCGAAAAATAGTAGTTTCAGGTACAGACAAATATGATCGTACTACTCAACATGCAGCTTTGCCAACGTTGTCACCAAATTTGAAAATCTGTCATGTCCCTACAATGCAACAGTCCAGATGTCAGTTGGACAAGATTGGAATCGAGTATATGTGCAAAAGGCAGGGATAAGAGACGATTATTGCTTTGCAGTAACTGTGCAGACTTCCAACAGAGCACATTTCGGACCGATAACCGGGCGAACTCTAGATCCTTGATGACCAAAGTGGCAACTAATATTCCTTCAAATAACGCACTATTTACACCACAGAAGAGATGCAGGAAATCAGGATGCCACAGACGAGCTACAAATACACACTTATAAATAGCCTAAAAGAATAAAAGGTATGTGAAGCTACCCTGTAACAGCATGGTAGTTTTGAAGCTAAGACTGCAGAGCTGCTCTTTTAAGCTACAAGAGGCACCCCTTTGCAATCCTGGCAATATTCACAACAATGAGCGACTTGCAGACAGAACTATCTACTAGGCAAAAGCAGACCAGATGTCGGGGTTCACACACACACACACACTCCTCTTGTTCGTAGACTTGATAGAAGATTGCCCATTAAATTAATCAGGAAACGCTTCCATGCGGAGCTCAAGCAGAAGCTGAAGCCGGTCCAGACAGCAAATAAAAACCACTTCAACCGGTCGACAGTAGAAGGAACTCGAGGTTAGGGTATGATCAATCGAACGATTACACCTTACTAAGCACCTGATCACGGGTTAAGTAGAAAAAGTAACACTGTAAAAAGACCATAAAAGTGATTAATTGCTTTGCAGAGAAGTAGATAGAGCTGATCTTCGCTCAGAAACCTCAGACGTCACAAGGTAAAACGATGTCGGGTACTCAGACTAAAGCTAATGCGCATAGACTCTCCAATGCCTATGAAAACATGAACAGATGTCGCAGAAATACCCAGAAAACAGAGAGGACGTGGTCTGCAGAAGATTCAATCATGGAACATGCCCAGTCAAAATCTACTTCGAATCTCCCAAGTCTGAAAGGAAGACCCAGCGAGGGCATAACGGTGTCAATGAGGTTCCTTTCAAAAGAGCAGGACGAACGAGGACTATACACACCAAACAAGACATACGAATTAGAAAACGCAAATAAAAACTACCTGGCTCAAATGCACCGCGGCAGCGCAGCCCCGACCGAGAAACCAACGGCAGTCCCCGAAAGCAAGCAGAACCTTCTCACCAAGAGGACGACGATTGATCCCGAACCCCTTCGCAGCAATTCACCGCGCCGTACTCCCAAAACCACAGTGCACACTACCAACTCCCTCAAAGCTCCACACACGACGCCATAGGGTCGCAGCAATAGAGAGGATGCAGCAGGATAGGTCACAGAGCAGCACCAAGCATCTCTCGACTCGCCCCCCGCGTACTCTCTAAAAATAAAAATGAAGAATGATTGAGACAACGTCGTCTCCGAACAGGGCCGTGAAAAGAGTAAACTGAACCCCAAAAAATAAAGGTGAAAAGAAAAAAAACCAACAAGACCGTCACTAGAGACAGCGAGAGAGCAGTTGGATTCGAGAGGCGCAGCAGCACGTTCCAGCAGCGAGACGGAAAAGAAACGGGATCTGCAGCATCCAAGGGATAAGTTGGGAAGGGGGCGAAAGGTGGACGACGACAGGTTCCACTTGGAATTCTCCCCCTGCGAGAATATGAGGACGACAGTTCTGCCCTGTTCCGGTGGTCCCGATCTATGTCCGAGGGCTTGAACTGCGAAGTAAATATCTCGTCGATTCTACATTTCAGGCCCTCGTATCTAGCCCGTCTCAAGTCCTAAAACGACTCGCCTGTGTATTTACGTATTCTATTCCGTATGCTCGTGTGTACATTCTGGGAATAATACAACCGTGTTTGTAAGCCTTGTGTGGGATGATGTAGCAAGTGAACGCATGGAATCCTCTCTTTCTATTAGACGCATTCAGTTAAGAGTAGTGATATTTTATTTCAAAAGATATTAATTAACCCAAAACAATGGGTTATTCATCATACCATTGCCTCTTTACAAAATGATGAAAGTAGCTTACTTTAAAAAAATATATGTTTTTTCTACCCTACAATGAGTTTTGAATTTTAGAAACCTTGATCAACCCATGAGTAATACCAATGAAATTTGTGTATGACGAAGGTTCATTCATATTCTTATTTGTAAATTGAGGTATCCCAAGATCAAGGATGTTTCCATGATGTTTGGTAGTAAAAATAATTATATTTTAGTGTTTTGTTTTTATTTTGTTTGGTTAAAACGTACATATTTATGATGAGGCACATTGAAACAATGGGTTTTCTTAATTTATATTTTTGAACCAATATTTTAATTGATACTCAAATGGATACTGATGAATGATTTGTCCTCAAAGAATTTTTGGGAAGTACAGAGTTTTGATTTGTTAGTGTAGTGTGCTTTTTATGTTGAAATAAGAATCAATTTGAATTATTGAAACACAGAATAAGTTTAAGAATCAATAAATCATGAAACAAACAAACACCTTCTAAATTTACCACAATAAAATGAATCTGTTTCAAAAAAGTAAAGCTACTGCAACCATTGTAAATTTTCAAATTTTCAAATATTTATTATACACGGTTTCCTTGGACAGTCTACTATGATTCCTTTCAAGTACACAGGCAGTATTTTTTTAATTATAATTATTATTCAAGTATTAAAAAATGGTTCAAGAACAATTTTTAAAATTTTAAATCGATTTAAATGAAAGTAAAAGGGACACATGATTACCTAGCTGTGTCCCTTTTTATAATGTTCATCCACTAATGAATATCCTTTGTGATTGATTTTTTTAAAATCACTGGATTAGGCTGCAAGTGGCATGTGCCTTGAAATTCCTACCTGTTCAGCTTAATTCTGTACTCAGGGGCAAGTACTTTTAGATTTCTTTGCGTCTAGCATGACCATATCAACGGTCACTAGTTGATAGCCACGGTGCATTTCAGTTTGTGGGTAATGTAGCTTCTGTGGTTTCGAATGAATCTAAGAGTGGCTTGGAAATGGCAACTTTCCAGGCAATTTTGACTCTCAGTTCAGTGTGACCAATTGCACAGGATTTGGAAACCCAGAGCATTACAAGTCACAGGCAGTAGAGTGTGTCTTGTGGGAAGCTGTGAATTCCAAGCCATGGCCAACTTGATGACCTTGCGACCAACCCCTCAATAAGTGGTTAAAGGTACAAAATGGCAGGCCAGCTGGGGTAGCACCCTCCTGTGCAGCCAAGTGGCATGAAGTCACACAACACCCATGTGGGCCTTAGATCACACAAGTGCATATAACTTGAAATATGAATACTTTAATAAGTACAAGTGCATAGAATTATGTAACACAATCTACATGTATTTTAATTCTCATATACATACATACATACAAGTGCACACAGTATACACCAGTGAGCCACTGATAAATATAGATCAGGGTGAGCTTGAACATATCAACAGCATTTGTGCAGCAATTGTGCAGCATTGCTTAGATCCCGAGGAGCAGATGAAGGAAACTTGGGGCTTAGCCTGCTCAAGGCTTAATGAGCATGTTGCATGAGTTGCACACGGTGGGCCACATTTTGATTCGGGAAGTGCGTTCGATGAGGTCCTGACAAACTTGCGCATCCTGTCTGCAACAGATGGACCAATCAGCAAGAGAGACCAGCACTTTAGAATCTTGCAGTTCCAATCTGTGGATCACAGATTGAATGGTGACAAGAGTGCAAGGAATCTACGAGACCTTGAAAGTTCATGAATTAAGTTGATGAATGCTTCGAAGCTCAAGTTAGCGCAAGACAGAGTCTAAGAATATTCCAGACTTTTATCAGACTATCTTCTGATAAAGCTTAACACTTTCAACGTCGATAATTAAGCCTTCTACTTTTACTAATACTTGACCAGCTAATATTTTACCTGAACAGCTTACATAATGCCATAAAATGTGAAGTATGGCCGAACAGAGAGTTTTCTTCCAGCATCCCATGAAAGTTTTTGCGGAAAAGTGCTCATTCTTTTTGAAAATGTCGACAATTTCACCATGTATGCTCATTTTCTGCATAATCAGATAGTTCAACTTCATGAATGCGTTGGGGCATTCTCAGACGACCCAACAAACTTGAGTCAAATAAGCGGTCACTTGCATGCATGACGACGTCGGTCACCATGAGATGGTAAACGCTGATTCAAGTTCGGTGTCAAGTGTGGACATTGCGGCAGCGACGCAACTCACCAACGAGAATTATCAATAAAACATCAATTTCGACCTGAGGCCCGCCTCGACATTTGGCCTTGACCACCAGGAATTGGGGTCAGCATCCGGCCGTCTATGGTAATGTGGTGGTAGTTGCAGTTGATTCGTGTGACCAGATCGATCATATGTGGAAAAATACCCACCTTCCGTTTAAATGATAAAACCTGTATCCAGAGAATGATTTCAAGTACTCCAAAATTTTAATAAAATCTTGGGATTACTGCAGCCCAACGGGTACTAATGTGCTAAGTATAATGCACTCAATTCAGGACTGAGGGAGTTTTGTAGATTAGATTTAAAGAACATAAGAATTTCTGTGGTTAAGATGAAAACGTCCATTCAACACTTTTTGAATATCTGCACATCCCATCCGTATTTAAATAATAAATGTATGAATGTGTTAAGGCATCTCTAAAATTTGGGTGGTCATTCTTGAATCGTGGGAGATAAGACCACCAATCCAAATAAAATCAGATGAACACAGTTTTTGAAAAGAACTACTCAAGAGAAAACCCATGCGCTTGTCGAATTCTCACACCGAATTCTCACTCCTAATGCAACTACATCGACCAGTTGCATTGGGAGCTGCTACTCCGTCGCACAATGCTCTCAAAATCGAGTAGTAGTCTAGCGCAAGTCCCAGGATAGCCATGACCCCACCTGCAATAAGCGTCCAGATCTCACCAAAAATATCCAGTTGGTAGGGATAAACCAGGCCAGCACCATCTCTACTCTGCAAAACGCAACCAAGAGACGATCCCTTTGACGCTAGAGTTTCCATGTACACAGAAATATTTATTAATGAAGTAAGGTCTTAGGTGTAATCTATTGTTGTACTTTATTTCTCAATAGTGAATGAACTATTACACCTAAATGAAAATGAAAATCTGGAACCTGCGATCATAACGACCAGGTCTAATGGCGAGTGAACCGAGAACAGCATACTCAGTAGCATGGAAGTAATATGAATGTGGAGAACCAATCAATCCTCACTAGTTTTTCTGGGGCCATCGGGCACTTTCGCTGGATGGATGTGAGGTAATCATCATGGCAGGCTATAATTTGATCGAGGTATCCAGCCGAAGCCATGCCCCCAGAACCCATTCCAGGAGAGAATTGTCTAATGAAACGAAAGATGAAGAACAAATGCTGTTAGATTGTGCATCCTAATGATGTATCCATCATGAAACCACAGACAAACCTACCCCGTCCTTGACATGTTGATGCAGAATATTAACAAATTGCATCAGTTTCTGCTGGAACAACAACCGGTGCTCGTGATGCCTGACGTCATCACCTTCGTTTCGCAAAGTGCATGAAAGACCCTATCCCTTTGAAGCAAATACTCCTCTTTACAGGGAAGAATTTATTGACAAGGAGAGGACTGAGGTGATATCTCCAACGATTATGACAAGGAGAGGTCTAAAGGTGAGTAGGGACCATTCTAGGTATTGCAAAGTTTAATTTTACATAAACTTGTTCTTATCAATAAACTCAAAGCCCGAAATATCCTCTACTAGCATCAGTCTTCTTGAGCACAACTAAAAAATGGTTTAAATGGCAGGAGGTCAGGTATTAGCAAATAGAAAGTATGAAATACAACACGTAAAACGAGAAAATACTTGTGTTTGCCGTGGTCACCATTGTCGGATTTCTCCGAATTGCTCAGAAAGTGACTACCAGCTGAACATGTGGTTTCACATCACGTACTCGGAAAAATGGAAACTCAATCGGATGGGGCATTACACGCTCCATTCCCTTCACGTTCTCTCCCAAGTATGTGGATAAAATTTTGTCACATCCCAAACCATGACTGCAATCTGTTGCGATTCTCAATCCAATTCTTGCCAATTTTAGGTCCCTGATAGTATTGATGCCGCTTCTAGGTTTCCTGGATTTTAGGCAACGGTTTCGTCCTAATCCGAATCGCTCGTCGAAAACAGCCATGGAGGAGCTTGCATCAATTTCTACATCCCGATCTTTACCTGATTCATCTTCAATCTCATCGAAAATATTCTTCCAGAGCTCTGAGTCGTTCAACTGCAATATTTGATTGCTTATGCTCAAACTTAGCTTCATATGCGCTGAGTCTTCTCGAGATCCCTCCATTGAGAAAATTTTCCACCCAAGATAACAAAAAAAACCTTTGCAGATGGTGATAGTTCCTCCATGGCATCCTCAGACGATACGGTATCATTTTGCAAAGCTGACAATCGCAGCAAATCAAAGACTGAGAGCTTCGTTGTGCACTGCCAATTGCTAACAGTGGAGGAGCATATAAATGCATAACCAGATATGATAATGACTTTCTTCAACCGTAGCATAAGCTGAAATAAAGGCCAGGTTCCAACCTCAAGAACTCTGGAATCTCAGAAATTCCAAGGAAGACTACAATTCTATCACATTGCCCTAGATTGAATTCCGAACTGAAGGTTTCTTGGTTGTCCTCGTCACTGCTGGTGATATGACAGCTTCATGCGAGCTACAATAACCCCTGCTCTGAACAATTTCCGGAGCTTGTTCATCTCTACATATACCTAAGCTCCTTTTATTGGCGTTTTCCTTCCAGTTTTTATGAAATAGACATGTAAAGATAATGGTTATTGAAAAACAGAGATGAATATTTGTGACATTAACAGATGCCATCTTCCAAATTTCTCCGAAGTTTTCCGATGAGGTCCGTTGAACGCGAACCAAAAGGCAAAATCTGACGAAAAAAGTGACCTTATTGATGTCAATTGTTGAGAGCATTCAATTATCCACGACATTATCTAGCTGCCAGCGTGATCCCGTTCGATTAATGCTTAAAATATTAAGCAAGATGATGCGGAAAGCAGCAATCAGGTCCTAGGTGAAAGATTCTTCTGATAGAACAATGTCACATACAAAGTGGATGACGCAGTATTCGCATGACGTCCAGCTTTCTACTCGAAATGCGAAGACGAAAGCAAACACAAAATGCATTCTTAAAGGTTGAAATCCAGTTACCTCTTCAACGCATCCCTTCTCATGCCTAACTGGAGAGTCTGCCCGGGGCAAAGAAGTCATGTTGCAGTCGAGTGAGATGAGTGCAAACGTTCTCCATCACCTTTACCTCCCTAAATGTGTTGAAGCAACTGAAGTGACTTGCTAGCAGCCACCACAGATTCAGCTAGACACTGCAAAAAACATTGAACTAATGAAGTCCTTGGCTTCATTCGTAGAGCTTCCCCAAGTCTACAAGGCAGTGCTTAACACTACAATGCAATACCGCAAGGCATGTTTCAGTGTCCTGATTGGATTGCTTATCAACAGAATCAACATGCTATTGTCATCAGAAGAGGAGAATGATCCGAACATGAAGAGTTCCATATTTCCTATGTGTAGAAGGCAATTCGTAACTTCTCAACAACTAAAAATGGTTTTCCATGTGTTACCTGACAATCACTTTTTCATATGTCGAAATTATAGTCCCTCATTTCTTTATCTTCCTTCCACTAACTTCCTCAACTAACAACCCTGTGGATATTGCATAAGCTTCATACTCATAATAAGTGGTTTCAACTCGTACCGAACCGATCTACAACCGAAAGTTCCAAGTTCTAGTACTGGACGCAGATTACCTCTCCGGATGGATTGCAGAGAGTTCCCATACACGACGACATTGAAACATTTAGAAGATGACGAATAGACACGAGAATCCAAGTAAAACATAAAATCGAGAGTAATAACCGCAGAAACAAAATAGGCAGAGTGCACTGGCATAGTCTTGTCAAGATATTTCAATGAAAGATTTGTTTAATTGCTCTATATCTCACCTTTTTTCCAGAAGACACACGCCATTACGTTGCTCGTATAATAACGTCCAAAAAGCTGCGCTGAAACCTCTGCTAAATCTAAATTGCTAAATCAGCTCATGCTCTAATTTAAGATTGTAAAAACGCAAAGCACGAAATCATCAAGGTGAGCTTTGAAGCTCCTGCAGTTCTTAAAGAGCCATCTCAGTTCTCGTAAACTGCTTTTAATTGCACGGAGAAATGATAATAAGAATAATAATATTATGAATAAAAATAAAAGCTTAGGGTCCTAGAATTTGTTTATGATCCACAATTAGCTGAATAATGTAAAACTAATGTTGTCTATATCTGGGACATACAACTATTTAATATACAACTACAACTACAAAATATATATTTATATTTATATTTACACACACACACACACGAATTTTGAAATTTGTTAGAATTATTTTTGTTTCATGATTTAGAGTTACATAAAGTTTTACTTATAAATGACTTATTATTCTGCATGTACTGTGCTTTATACGTATTTGTTTGGTAACCACTATATTTTGCAAAGTTTCATTGTTACAATCTTGTTTATGTCATTTAGTAAAATTTGTTTCAGCTATTTATAGTATGTTATCGTCAATTTCTATTCGATGTACTCTCAATTTTTTATTTTTATGTTTGTCTTCTAATTTTTAGGAATTTTCTTTATAATTTATAAAATTAGTATTTCTAAAATATAATTGGATTTAGTCTTGGTATTTATAATTTTTTTGTATATTTTTGTTATAAATATATTTATCCATATATTCATTTTATAGGTTTTTGCTTAATAAGTGTCGTAGAAAATGCTTTGTGTTGTTGGTTGTTAAATTATATATGTAATATAAGTACATCAAAAATTGTAATAATGTGTTTTAAGTGATTTAGTTTCGAACAATAATTTTTTATTTTTATTATTACAAAATATTTATTTTAACTATATTTAGTATTTTCAAAAATTATAGTTTGAATTTGCAATAGTTAAGTTTTATACAATGTTTTAATAGATCTTTTTTTCTTTTTCTTTTTCTTTTTCCTTCAAAACAAGTAAACATCAAACCAAGATTTATATTTTGGTTTTATTTTATTTTTTGTCTTGAAATTAATGAATAAATTCATGGTTGAAAGAATATTCACTGTACACCTTTCCTTCTTGAGTATCAAAATAGAGAAAGTAGACATTCCAGTTTAATTTATGAAATAATTTTTTATTAAAAATAGATTTTTTTTTATATGCTGAATTACGACGTATAATATATGGCCATGTCATTATTTTTAGAACTCTGAAGGATAAACATGGTGTTATTTAAATTATTCAATTTTCTTTTAATTTTTTTAGAGGAGTGTAATATTTCAAGGTATAATAAAAGAAAAAAAAACTATATTTCTATTAAAAAACGAATAAACCAGAATTTTATTCTGATTTTCTTTGTTCTTGAAATCGCTATAAAGTGCACAAGAAATCAGAAAATGACGTGATTAGTTTCAGGGTCTTGTCACGAATGACTTTTTCATTCTACGGTTTTTATTTTTATTTTGATGTGACATTGACTTTTGGTGTTTTTGATGATATGAAATGTTCATCAAAACAAATGTGACTCTCATCACACCATGATGTGAGAGATAAATTTATAGAAATGTGTGTATATATATATATATATATTTGTATTCAATTTTCAAATTTTTTAAGGGTTGTAAATAATGTTGACGACCATCAATTTTTTAAAAAATAAGAAGTAAATTTTAGTAACCACTTTAATTTTTTAAAAAAATTCAGTTATTGTAAAATAACTTCACATCACAAGAAAACTTATTGACTTACATCTGTAACAGAAAACATTTGCCATAATCTTTCAGGGAATAGGGGGGAAAAAATAAATTTTCTAGAAAGCTTCCTAATAAATGTCAGTGAATATTTTTTTGTAAGAGAATGTTCCAAAAAAGTCACTGATGATAAAAGGTATTAGATAAACTTACCATGAATTGATTGTTTAATTTTATGCATGTTTTGTAACTATATTATCAAAATTTATAAGAATAGCTGTAAGTTTGAAGGCATTACCATGAGATGAATTGAAGTTGCAACCATAACTTATACAAATTTTTATGAGAGCTGAAGTTTTCACTAGGGCCATTACCGCTTTATAGGAGATTTCAAACTTACTGCACACAGGATTTTATAATATTAATACTTGCAGAAGGAAGTTATTTGCACAATTTTCTAGTAGAAGTTGTGAAAATTCCACATGAAGTACACCATGGTACAAGCTCATTCCGAATATCTCACTCAACTTCAATTCAAGACATAGGTAATAATCATAATAATAATAATAATAATAATAGCATAACTAGTTGATTTTTCTTCATTGCAGTCAACTATCTATCTATATAAATATATATATATGTTAACTATTATATATGTTATTTTTTTTCTTTCACTTTGTAGCATTTAAAACCATTGCCATCCTTTTCATACAAATTAAGCTTCTTCCAGTTTTCTCTCAGGATTATTGGAACGCATACCATTCCTTCTCTAAGTTTTTTGGATTATAATGAAAAGAGATAAATTAATAAATAAAATAAAACTAAACTAAACAAGTAAGAAAGAAAGAAGGAAGTAGAAGAAAAAGAAACATTAAAAAAATGAACTAAATTGTTTAAGTGCAAGTTTTGCATAAGTTATATTAATTGACAAAACTAAATTTATTTGGTGCATGAAATGGTTTTTGGTGGCATCTAAAATTCCAAAAATATTCGACACTTAAAAAAGTATTGAAATTAATAGATGAGTATTAATACAAGCAAAAATGTATTTACTGTCCAGTATTCTAATATCCAAACAATTTTCTGAACCCTAAGAACCAAGATGTTAGTGTTCAAGAAGCTTTAAAAAATGTGGTTTGCACACAAGAATTTCAGAATTCTTTGCAATCATAGATATTCCATGGTTTATACAACTTCTTCAAAAAAAATTCTATGGCATCGAATTGTTATAATATTAAAAAAGAAGTAAAAAATGGGAATTTTTAATCGAATATTAATACCTTTTTTTGGATATGATATGGGTAGGATTTGTAAAATATACAAAATTGACATAGTTTTGAAGTAGTATAAGCAAGGATTGTAGCATTTATTATTGGGTTAATTTTGTAATTCTTCATGAAGATTCAAAGAAAATTACGCAAAAATATAATAATAAACATGTAACAATTAAGATAGAAAAAATCTGAATATATATATATATATATTGTACATAAATCAAATATAACCCATCTGATAGAATACATCGAAAATACACCTACTAAGAAGAAAACATATTATTTAAGTTTGAAGGATTATTTATATATATATATATATATATATATATATATTGCAATATGTCCATACTGAAGTTATTAAAAGCTTGTCATTAGCAACAACACAAACATATATATATATATATATATATATATAGATACACACAAATAAATAAATTAGAGAATTGGTTTCAATCATCCATTTTGAATCCTTTAATGTTTTCAAATTACACTTGTTGAACCCCTGCTCTTGTCATGGATTTATGACACAGATTTCCAGAAAGTTTAGTTTGTTGATATCAAGATCTTAGCTTCTTAAGCATTTCACCTTGCTTGCACATTAGAAGGAAATTTTGCATTCAAGTTCTTCCAAACTAATTAGACATTAATATAACAACAAAGTCTAGAAACAAAATAATTAGTAGACTAAGGAAATATAAGTGATAATAGAAAAAATATTTAAAATAATTAGGTGAATGAGAAATTAAGTCATTGTGTAGCAAATGCAAGCTTCAAAAATGGACAAAATACAAATATATCAATTGAACAACACATAACTAATTATTTCGATATTATAATAAGCAAATTTATAATAGTGACTTTATAATAATTTAAAATATGAGTTAAAGTAATTCTTTCAAAAGTATAATATGTGGCTGGAAATTATATATATATATATATATATATATATATGTATTCATAGTTCTTTATAAAAATGCTTATTGATTTTGATTTTATTTATAACATTGTATTCCTTGATACAGTTGAAAATATTTACTTGATTTTTTCCTTAAATTTTAAGTCAAACACCTATTGTGATTAAAATAATTTATCTTGATTTTTTTTTTTTTAAAAAAAATCAGCATAGATTTATTTATTCAAATTACTTTTTTTTTTTTTTTTTTTTTCTCTCTCTTATAAGACATCTTTAAAGAAATTTTGATTGTGGAGAGAGTAAATGTAAACTTTTTTGATAAAAACAAAGACCAAATGAGTGCATGAAGGCACTCACTCAACAATTCAAAGCTCTATAAAACAACTAATAAAATGGCCTATGAATTCTAAAAAAGAACCTCTGAACTCTAGAGAAGGTGAACTTTTTTGATGAAAATAAAGACACATCCATGCAACCATTACAAACCACTACTTGTTTCCTGGAACATTTTTAATATATAGACTAGATGAACTTGTGTTATTGTCACAAAAAGTGTGACTCAAATGAACCATTTTTTGAGCCAAAGAATATTTTTCAAATACAAATACAATATAATACAAATAGAAAGAAATAAAATACACAATCAAGCTTTCAGCTACAGAGTAAGATAGGTAAAGCTGTGTTGTTGTCATGAACAATATGCAAAAAAAGTAGTTAATTTTATTCAAGGTAACAAACATTACTTATGAAAATAAAAATAAAAAATTAAATTACATTAAAAAATTATAAAAGTATGTTAAGACATTCAAAAATGTACTAAAATCAAGAAATAAATAAATAAATATACTAAATACTAAATACTAATATTTATCTAATTAAAACTTCTAGGAAATGATGCAATTATTCATTTATTTATCAATGAAAGAATAAATTATTTATTTAAATTGCTAGAAGTTTATTTAAGCCATTTATAATATTTGAAATTTCATTTATTTATTTATTTATGTATTTAAAACTCCTTGTGAACTCCCTGTGAACTCAACTTGAGTATTGGTCAAGCTTTTGCTTCCTTTTAAACTCCAGACAACGATAAGTTTTTTGATGAAAACAAAGACCGGTCCATGCGGTGAATGAGAACCACCTATCTGCTTGAGCGATCTTAGTATGTAGATATTCAAGGTAACAAACATTTAGAATCTTTACTTTTTATTTTTTTATTACATGTAATCACACTGTATGCATATAGTATCATATAGCATGCAATATCTCATTATATGCACAGTCTCATATAAACTTTTTTGACTTCAAATAACAGATTGATTTTTCAACATTGAGACAACTAAACAACTCTGGAATAAATGCCATATCATCCAATCTCAGTCCTACTATTATCATGTCGATGTTTTTGCTGAAACATTTCGAAGAATCTCTTTGCAAAATGGTGATGTACCTCAAGGGATCTTCACAATCAAGAGGGGCAATGCCCAGCCGCCGCCTGCTCCACCCAAATTGCGACTCCTCTGCTCAGAGAGCAACCAACCCACATGCAAATGCTGTGGGAGTAACAGTCCGGGTTGTGCGTGGCTCTGACCGCGACGCAAGCCCATGATATATTCAATCAATTCGCGTGTCAGACTCATAATGTGTCAACTCCAGACATGTTCGGAGCAGTAATTGCTCGGGAGCAAAGAGGGAGGGAGCGATAAGAAGGGCTTGAGGGGGTGGGGGGGAGAGAGAACACATTCTGTGTTTGCTTGATTTATTGATCAATTGCGGGATTAATTTGGGGTAGAGGAGGAGGAGGTGTTCGCGAGGGTATAATAATACCTGGATGTTGCTAATTCCATTCCTCACCATGTGTTTATTCTGCTCCACGTGATAGCTGGTTCGTTCCGCGAACTGTAGCTGCAGATAGTTTTTTTTAACAATTCGTCTTGCCCTCTCACCCTTTTTTATGGCGAGTTGAAATGCGTCGTCGCGTTACGCATTTCAGGTGGTGGGGTGGTAGGAGCTCGTGGTTGTTTTGAAAGGGCTGTGAGCTCGCGTACCTGAAGAAGCTTGGATGTGGAGAATTGTATGGGTTCGTTTGTTTCAGGGGAGTTTTGATGTATCCGGTGTCTGTCCTCGACTTCTTGAAGGATTGGTCCCATAGGCTCTCATCACTCCGTGCATTGTGTGCAGTGAGCCTGTCTTCGTTACTTTTTGGGTCCAAGAGTCGAAGTGCCAGCACTCATTTTGGTTAAGTCTAGTGGGGGTTCGTTCCTTTCGAGGAATATTGAGCAGTAGAGGCGGGATAATGTAGTGGTTCAGCTGCTGGCTCGGTGTGTCCTCGGGGCCGAGATTTCTTTTTTCCTAGAGTTGGGAGTGTATCCTCGGATTCTAGTGTCTGTTATACTTTCACCAAATTGCCAGATTGTAATCTGATTTCATGAAAGAATCATGAGTAGGAGCTTTTTGTTAGCTTTGGAGGCCTTTGTGACATAATCGATGTTCGTTTTTCTTTGGACAACTTTTGTAAAGTTTCTTTTGGACAACTAGGTAGTACTCAAGGCTCAGTATCTTGGCCTCTCCAAATCGCATGTTCAGCAATTTGACCAAACATTTTGTAAGATTGAGACCCAATTACAAGTCGATCTTCTGCGACTTAGAGTTAGGATTCGAACTGTGGTACCTGAACGTTGAGGCTGGAACCCGGAGCTTTGCATTCTAGAGCCATGGAGAATGCGATTGATAAACCAGTTAACAGTTTCTCCATCGCGATTCGTGGGGTGGTTATCGTTATGTTAGTTGCAGTCTCCTCTGAGGTCGCCTGTGCGACGTTGAAAGGAACCCCGAAGACGAATGCTTATGCGACATTGCTGTACATGGGCACACCTCGTGACTACGAATTTTACATCGCCGCTCGGGTGATGTTGGGGACCCTTTTGCGCCTTGAAGTAGACGCAGACCTTGTGGTTATCGCCTCCACCAGCGTGCCCCAGCATTGGCAGGAGACTTTGTAAGAGTCTTGAATGCTTACTCTGGCAGCTTCGAACTTGCTCCAGTCTTTTCCTTGGTTGCTTTTTTGAAATCTTTCGTTCAATTCAGGCTTGTCATTGTTGGCCCGTCTTGTTTTTGATCTTGTGGGTTCCGTTCTTTAGTGTAATTACTCAATAAGTGGACCTATGCTACAGTAGGAGGTGATCTCCCTAAGAGGATTTTCAGCAAGGGTTTATCCTCAAGGTTGAAGTTGGTCTATCAAAACTACAAAACTGGTTTCAAATTACAGGATTAGGCAACATGCGCATGGCCTCGTTGTCTTATCTTAGCACTCCTTAAATACAGGACTGACGAAGGTTTCAAGGTTGTGGTAGTCAAGGATATTCAGAATCCTTACCATAGCAATCACAATTTTAACAAGCGCTTTGAATTCACATTGAACAAGATCTACGTTTGGAGTCTGACGGAATATACGCGGGTTGTAATGCTTGATGTGGACAACTTATTTCTCCGCAAGCCCGACGAGCTTTTTCAATGTGGTCAATTTTGTGCTGCTTTCATCAACCCCTGCATTTTCCACACAGGTCTCTTTGTTCTGCAGGCAAGTTACTCCCATACTTAGAGAGTTTCAGTGTCTAGAAGTTTGTGTTTCTTGTGTAAGCCTTGGTGCACACAGATAATTGTTCAGGCACAGAGTCCTTCAAATTATATGGCAATCTGAGTTTTTGTTCCTGATCTGCAGCCATCGAGCGAGGTTTTTAGTACAATGATGCATGACATCAATGCTAAAAAGGAGAACAGGGATGGAGTAGATCAAGGTTTCTTGGTCAGTCACTTCACTGATCTTCTTGATCGACCAATGTTTCACCCCCCAGTAGACGGTTCAAGGCTGAATGGACTTTTCCGACTTTCAATTGGATATCAAATGGATGCCGCGTTCTACTGTAAGTTGTCATTTTCCAAAACATATGCTCAACAGATATTTTTATGAAGGTATACTTGGTCTGATTTACGGTTTTTCTATTAGGTTACGCCACGTAGTTTTTAGTTTGGGACTGTGGTAAAATGAACTGGTCCACTGAGTCTTACCCACTAGCTATCCAACAAAGACCTGCTTCCAACGGAGTACCATGTCATTCATTAAAATAATAATAATGATAATAACAATAACATTTGAATAAAATATGCTCGTGAGTGATATGGGACTGAGCCATGTGGTAAAGGTCCTGCGGCTGGCGTACTTACATTGCCTGGTTTGTGACAATCATGTTTTAGAGGTTAGAAAGTGTGAGGCATCCTAAGGTGTGACAGCCCTTGAAACGAAGGCATTGTTTTTGACCTTAAACGACTGCACCACGAGCTTTAACTTGCAGATTTGAAGTTGAAATGGCGCATACCTTGTGGTCCAAATAGCGTTATCACATTTCCTAGCGTTCCTATGCTGAAGCCATGGTATTGGTGGTCGTGGCCAACTCTGCCTCTGGGACTATCATGGCATGAAAAGCGTATGGAAACCATTGGGTGAGTATTATGTCCTGTTATAGTGTTTCTCTATTGCTCCTTCAAGTAGATTTGTTCGAGGCATACCTGAGCGTAGTAGATTCTAGATATCGATTGTGTAGGAGCTAATCAAGTAAACAGCAACTCATTTGAAGGGTACAGAGGAAGCTCCTCGAGTAAATGTATACAAGGCGATAATTGAATAGTAAGCATGAAAGAAATCGGAGCGGCGATTACCAAGTTTTTAATTTGAAGACTTTGCTGATTTTGTACCTCTTGCTTAAACGCTTGGTTTCGCACGATCCACTTACATCTCACTCCATGTGAACTACAGATATGAAAGTGAGACATCCACTCTCATTGCCGAAAGCTTGTTTTATGTCGTCACCATGTTCCTTGCAATAATTATTCGGCAGAGGTATGCGGCCGTCGAGAAGAGCTTCACGAAATCATGCTTTGGTCGGGGACTCTACTGCGAGAAAAAGATGTGTCACCCGTTGGCCTTAAAAATCCTCATCGCTCTCTTGGTGGCCGTGAGCTTCCTATTCCCTGCCTTAATAATACCAACAACAGTGCATCCATTTGCAGGCTGGGGAGTCTTCCTTCTGGGATCTCTCTGGCATCTCACTGTCGTCATCAATTCCTTCCAGCTTCCAGTTCTACCAGTGTTGACCCCCTGGATTGGCGGTATTGGAGCCCTATCAGTTTTGGCTTGGCCTTTTTACAGCAATGGTATTCTGCGAGCAGCAGCCATTGCGGTGTACACTGCTTTGGTCACCCCAATTCTGTGGAACGCTGCAATGAAGGTTAGTGCCGTTGTGGATGTTCGAACACACTGGGAGCCTCAATTGACTTGGACGCGTTTAAATTCGGGGTCTGGCTCAGAAACTCTCATGAAACTATGCTAGCCTGGAAAGAATGAATAGGGTTAACAATTCACCAGTTCTCTTTGCGAAGAATCGGTCCTGTAGAACGCTCTCAGAACAGTGCTACCTCTTGTTGGGAGAACTTTCTGAGTGACGTGGGCGAAGCATGCTCTATTCACGGCGAAGTTGGCTTAGGACTACCACAATTAGTGAAGGCTAGAATGTGACGTTTTGGAGGTAGCACATTTCTCTGAACTATATGTCGTTTAGTTCTTCCAATGTGTCCTTCCTGTCAGCTGCTGCTCCTAGGGACAATTTCAGGAAATGACCTCTAACCCGTGGGTAACAAGTGGGGGCATATTCCTAGGATCACTGCAGAGAGGATTTTACAAGTTGTATGCTTCTGTAGATTTATACAAATATTTCTTTCGACTTGGTATGTGCATTTTACCCCTTTCCATAAATATACAGAATATTAATTGGTGGCTGCTCATGCCTGATGCTGAATCAATAGAGACCAATAGGTAACTTGCCATTGAAGTTTATTTTATTTTCAACTTTCCTGGCTTTCAAAAGTTTCTTTTATTTTCTTTTCCTGTTTACATACTGTGCCAGACCTTCACGCAGAAACCGACATTTCCCAATCATGAGTGAAAACAAAACAATATTGCTTGCGGTAAAGTTTAACAGTTATATCAAGCATGTTGAAAGATATTATCACTCAATAGTCTTTGCAAACTTCAGAGCACCTGCAACAAGGAGAGGAAAAGATGAAGCATGTCAAGGGACATAGCTACGGAAGCTCTTGTGTACTCATCACAGCTGTACACATAATGTACACATAATGTACACATCACATAATCACATAATGAGATTGCCTGTGTCCTACTTAGTGTAGGTATTAAAAATAAATGCAGTATAACCACCGGAAATCATTCGAAATACGGGACCTTGTGGAAAAAACATCTGTCGAGAATGTGACAGCTTGCTGTGAGAGCATACGATATTATACTAATGCGGGAATGTAGCAGAGAACACGTATCAACAACTCAACCTTTTTCTCAAAATGGTGACAAACCAATGTGCAAACTATCAGAAGCTGGAAATAAAATTGGTGAACTGCTGGGTATTGAATCGCGTAACTTAATTAACCGCTGCAAGAGATTCCAGAACCAAACGCCCTTCACTTGAAGCGAACTGCGACCAGTAAGACGTGAAAGATACAGATGAACAAAAAGTAGAACGACGAACCTGAATCTTTTAAGGAGAAACAAGACCATAAGGCTTGTAAACAACACGGTCCTTTCTTGCCGTGTTAAAGGTGTCTGGGATGAAGGACAACACAAAACGCCTGCTGCCAACAGCCTGAACGAATTCCAACACACGAGTCGGCACATACTGCGTAAACGGTTTCAAAGGATGGTATAATAATCAAATACAAAACTGGAAAAGCGTTCCATATCGGAAGACATGCCAAAAGCTTACACCTATCGTCGTGGCGAATAAATAAAAAAGAAGCAGATTTACTGGCTGCAGATAGTAGTACAGGAGACACATCACTTCAAATCCGGCAGGAGTAATATCAATCAGTGTAGAGTGTGTTCTCGTTTCGGAAGCAAAGCAGGACAAATTGCATGGAATGACCAGATGATCGTTTCAGACCTTCCAACGTTACCCCAAACACATCATTACAGCACGATACAAACATTTCAGATCCGAACCAAAATGGGGACGCAGAGACCATGTTCTAAGACATCCAAAAAAACGCCCACGTAAGAGTTGCAACACCAGTGAGGATCAAAATTCATGTACGGGTCGCAGGAAAAAACTCAACACTGCAACCATGATTTCCACAAGCGCTAAACCGGATTAACAACCTGAAGGCTCAGAACGCTGTCCATCTCGCGAATAAACCTCCCACCGAAGCTTTACCCACATTCAGAGATCAGGCATTTCTACTGAAACAACAGCCATTCTTCGCATCACACTGCGCAAACTCTCTGCCACGAAGATTTCTCTCCCCACTCGAACGAAACCGACACCATGGACGAATTTCGAGGATTCAAAAGCTCCGGTATGAAAATGTTTCGACAGGGATCCGAGTGAAGAATCAATCCAACAAGATCCTGGCGAAGTAATCGTCGAATCTGTACCGGGGCTCCGAAGGATATTCATGAATGGCGCGGGGAAATGCGCCTCGTGGATGGCGATGCAAAGGGGCGGCTGGAACCGAAGATCCACCGTGGCCGATGCCGACCACTACCCAGATTCAAAATTTGAAAAAACGACATGGGATAAATAAATATCCTGTTTCGAAAAATAGAATCTATCCCGAGATTCGAATCTTGGCATTGAGCAATATGCTAAAATATTCGTAACAATTGTCTCTCTTTTGAAGTAAACGAATTGAACTCGTTGTTGTTGATTGGAGGGGCATATGAACATATTTATGGAAGGATAAATTAAATAATACGAAATTAATGACTGTGGGGATGTTGATTTTGAGACACGGAACAGTGGATGGATGAATACATGAATGACCCCATGTGGGATGCTTCAATGTGAATCTAAAAGTGTTCATAATAATCATAATAATTAATGCTCAAATCATAATAATAATAATAATAATAATGTTAAAAAATGAAAATCGTGACTTAATTAAAAAACGTAGTTTTGAATATGACTGGAAATTTATTCAAGTAAACTTTATAATAAAATTCTGTGTTTGGTCATAATAATGAAAAACGTCTTTTAAAATAAAACTGTTGAAAGATTTAACCTTTAAATTCAAAGTTCAGTGAATTAAGTTTTAAAATTTTAAATAGCTATATTTATATCTGTATGGTTGAAGTGTTTGAAATCAAGCTTTGAAATGCTTTTTAGTTCTGGATAATATTGCAATTGGAATGAAAAGTTTATATTTCAACATTATAATATTCCATACAAAAACCATATATATAATTTTTGATCCTTGAAATACATTGTTGTCTTTAAAGAGCCTGTGAATTACTTTTTGATTATCCAAATTTTATATATTTTTTAACTAGGTATTTAATATTTCTTTGATCATAAATTAAGTAAAGATAAACTTAAGTTAAGTATCTACTACACATTAACAAATTTTGAATAATATTCTACATTTTTAAAAAATTGATTGAAAATATCTATTCAGTGTCTTATTTTATAATTAATTTGTATCTTTTAAAAATTATCCTTGGTAAGCAGGTATTACACAACCAAAGATTTAAAAAAAATAACTGGCTGATTAATTTAACTCAATATATATAATTAAATTTGTACGAACATTATAGAAACCTTATACAAGTGTTTACAGAAGGCAAAATATGTGTGCATGTTATCTCTCTCTCTCTCTCTCTCTATATATATATATATATATATATATATCAGAAAGAAGATCTAGTTACATAAGCCAAGTGATTATTCAGTCCTACAAGAATTATATAAGATAATAGATTTTTTTATTATTATAGATAAGTTATATTATCGTATGATCCTTGCAAATATTGTAAAATTTTGAAATATTCATATTTATTCTTTGGCCAAATATTTCCAAATATTATGCAATACTCTTTGCTAAATATTTCTAAAACATTCACATGTCCATCAGAAAGTATTTGACAAACCTATTAAACAAGAATCTTTCAAAAACAGTCAGCCAATCACATGTGAATTGGAATTGGTTAATCAAGGAATTGTCTAAAAATTAATAATCGCTCTGTTCAAATTGGAATTTTGCCAGTTAAGAAAAATCAAGCACAAACACTAATTTTTTCATTAAAGAAATATTCATTTTACAGATAGATATATTGTAATAATAAATATTACAAAAGTTTATGATTATGATGTATTGTAATTTACATACATAAAAAATACCATTATATATATATATATATATATATGTATACGAGTGAAAGAGAATACATTTAATAAAAACATTATCATTAATTCTTCAACAATAATTTTATATTATATTTCTTGGAGGTTTGAACAGCATAAACTCTCTGATTGATATTGAATGTATTAATGAAATGTGTGGTCGTTATCAATATTTAACAGTCTCATATTTTCCATTGACAAAAAATATTGTAAATATTATGTAATTCAACACTGATATCCGCGTGGTGAATGCAATTACATTATGTTTTTAGTTACAGCTAAAAAAATAATATACTTTTTGCATTATTTGAAAGTTGAAATTTTGTTTAGTTTCAATGTGCATGTCTATTACAGCATGGTTTCAAAATTTTACTATAAGTTGCAGATAATTAATGCTTCCCTCTTAAAAATAAAAATCAATCAAATACGCTGTAGACTTTCCAAGTTAACTTCAACGAGGAACATGTTATCAGACATATTTTATTACCAACTAAAATGGATAAATAGTATTCTTTTTAGTGGTGAAATATAGTCCTAAATTAACATGTGTTTGAATTAATAATAATGGTTAATAATGCATTACAATAATGGTTTCACAAATGATTTTCTTTTTCTTTTTCAGATACAATGTTTTTGATGAATTCATGTTCTTAAATATCTTTATTGTTGTTTCACATTATGAAAAATAAATAATGTTCCTTATTACCGGTTTAATCAAGTATAAATCACTCTGTTCTTTGTCGAAATGTAAAAATTAATGATATTTACCTATTTAGTAAAAGAATATATTTCACGCACTTAAGTTGGAAATTCCACACCTTTGCACACTAACGTGTCTTGAATTGACACCACATGTACACGTATCATCTTTCAAAGTTTTATGGATCTTTTAACATGCAATATTAGTTTTTTTCTGTTTATTATTTTCTCTAAACTATTATTTTCTTGTTTCTGCGCGTGTATGTTTACACACCCATATATTGTTTAAAAAAGGGAAGCCTTTTCGTGAATGGGTTCAGAGAGCTAATTCCCTGGTCTCCTCAACAAACCCTAATTTTTTGGGCATGCAACCCAAAACCATTGAAAGGCCCTTGAGGATGTGCCAGGTATTCATTAGAAATTACATGGTAAAGCAGGAAAAGAAAAAAAATAAAGAGCAGGGAAATCAAATAAAAAGGGATTTTTCGTTCTATTATTATTCTATAGTTGGAGACTGTAAGGGTAGCTTAACTTTGAAGCAGAGAATGGGTTTGTGGGTGTGAATTGGCTTGCAACTGAAGCAGCAGCAAATAAAGTGGGTCACTCACTGTATGGACCCATCCTATCATCTATCTATCCTCGATATCATCCATCCCCCGTTCATCCACTCGTCCTCAGAAACCGAGAGGTAGCTTACATTTGAAGCGAATATGTGAGAGTTCTCAGCCATGAATTACAGACGGCGATTCCTCGGGGAGGGAGAAGAATAATAATTTCTACGAGACACTCACACAAAGAAACACACACTACGAAATAAAAATAAAATTTGCGAAAAGAAAACTCTGCGATTGGAGGGTAATACTCGGCTCAGATTGATGCCAGAAAAGAAAAGCAAAGGTCGATATATATATATTTTTCTGTCTTTAGCCTTTTTGTTATATTTTTCTACCCCCGTGTGTGTTGTTAAGAGGGGGATAAGGAAGAAAACGAGAACAGTAGCTAAGTCACAACACTCGCATTCAGCAGAATGAATATGAATATAAATATAAATATTTTTTCTTTCTTCTCTGGTGTCTATTACGTGGGTGGTATGTAACGCGAGGCTAGCAACCAAACAATGCCGCGTTCCTATTTGCACCAACTGGTGGTCGAGCTTGCCCTCCTTGTAGCGAAGGAAGGAGTGAGGGGGAGTGTGGTAATCAAGTAAACCTAATTATATCTATATATATATATCTATATGTTATGAATGGTATAATGCGCTGTGTCCGGTCACAGAAACACACACACACCCCCATTAAGGAAAGGGACCTGACACGGAGTGGACATATATTTGGGGCAAATCGTGGCCATTCGGAAAATAGGGTTGCGTACTCCGACAGGAAGTTGGGTCCCCTCGGTCTTCTTCCTCTTCGACTTCTTCTTCCAAATTTTTATTTTCCCTCTGTTTGGAGAATTCCATCCCGCAGCTCAACCGAGACGACGACGACGCTGCTTCCGGCTCCAGGCAAACTTTGGGAGACGAGATGGCGTCCGCGTCAGCAGAGGTTGCACGCGCAATTGCAGCCGTGTGGACCCGACCCCGTGGTGGGAATTTGAAGAGGAGCCATTCGCCCTATCTCTGAAACACAAAACACACACAAATGAATGCCACAGAACTGGATAAATTTCTACACACTCGGTCTTAGCCTAATTCCATAAACGGGTGACTCTCTCTATTTATGGACGGAGAGTCGCCGCTGCTTTAAATACCCCATGTCTGGCTACGATTGCGCCAAAACTTATGGAACGAACACATGCCACCACGGCCATTCACGTTCTCGCCCTGCCGCTCGCGTTCTACTACACGTAGTTCTCCCCTCCCTCTCGGCTTCTCCCGTCTTCGTCCGTTCTCTCGCCTTAGCTCCTCCGTCCTCCCCCATCGGTCATGCGTGCGGCCCTCATCGCCTGGTCTTAAGAAGAAGCCACTAGTAGGTGTAAGCCGGAAGGTGTGTGTGGGCGCTTTTAGGGAGGAGAGGGTTTCGGTTGGAGGGGGTGTTTGTTGTTGTGTTGGTCTTATTTTTTTAGCGAGGCGGGGGTGAGCACTAGGTCTTGGTGTTTTTTTGCTGCGGGCCGGGAGTTAAGCGGGGGCGCGGTGCGGTGCGGTGCGATGGCGAACGCTTCGTCGGGGGTGGCGGTGAGTGATGATTGCAAACTGAAGTTCCAGGAGTTGCAGAGGAAGAAGGCGTTCCGGTTTATCGTTTTCAAGATCGACGACAAGGTGCAGCACATCACTGTGGAGAAGTGTGGCGGCCCCGATGCCACTTATGAGGAGTTCGCGGCTGCGTTGCCGGAAAACGACTGCAGGTATGGGGTGTATGACTTCGACTTCACGGCCGAGGATGGTGAGATCAACTGTCAGAAGAGCAAGATTTTCTTTATCGCTTGGTCGCCGTCTATCTCGCGCGTGAGGTCGAAGATGATTTATGCCAGCTCTAAGGACAAGTTTAAGCGCGAGCTTAGCGGCATTCACTACGAGCTTCAAGCTACTGATCCTACCGAAATGGATCTGGAGGTGATCAAGGAACGCGCCAAGTAGATGAAGAGATCAAAGCTTTTACTTGTGGAGGAGAGTCACTGAGAACTCGAGCGCTGTATTCTGAGCTTCGAACGACCCCGCTGTGGATGGAGAGAGAGCGCTCTGAACCCTAGATTCTTTTCATAAAAAATATCCCTGTCTTGAGAGTTTCGAACTGCTCCGGCGTTTGGAGGAGGGGGGAGAGGACTCTTAACCGTAGACTGTTATTTTGCTGTCTTGTGAGTTTCGATCTCCCCTTCCTTGGGGAGAAAGGGCTCTTAACCCTAGACTCTTTCTTTATTTTTTTTATCGCTGTCTTGTGAGCATTTGTCGAGTTAAAAAAGGAAGACAGTTATTATTCATTTTGTATACAGTATGTGTGCTTCATTTTGGAAGGGTTCATCGATCTTACGAATTGGATTCCGAAACGCACTTGGCTTGCTTAGCCACCTGTAATTTCCTTCATTAATACGATATGCCGATGGTCTGGGGTAGTCCCTCCGTATCCTCACACGTTCTTCACGAATGGAGGGGCCCTTCGATCTAGGTTATGTGCTGCACCTCGTTACAAGTTCTTGGACGCGTCGTTCTTAGAAACAAATCGTAGATATTTGATATTTCCGCGCTTGAAGAAGAAATTATGTCTTGTTGCGTGGGGAATGTCTACCAGTATACGGGTAAGAGAGATGTTTGAAGAAGCAGATCATGCAACAGTCGTGCATTTGTTGCATAGATGTGGTTGGCACATCGGCACCGTAGTAAATGATTCTGAAATATCACTAAGTTATCTGGAACTTCGAAGTAATATTTTGAATTAATCTTCACTGTTGACTGTCAGAAGACGCAGATTTATGGGACTCTGTTGCTGGCAGATATATGTATTGGTCAAGTTTGTGGTCAGTATCTGGGTGGGTGGTTAAGGGAATTGAGATTTTTTCCTGGGTATTGCTTTAGTCGGTTGATGCCAAGACCGGTCCAGATCTATCCCACGTCATATTTACCGCACGATCTTAACATCTCACATTGCGTTTCATCAATGTATATTCATAAGGGCTTTAGCAACAGATGAGAGTGGTAGGAGTTGGTCTCTTGGCTGTTAACGTATCCAATCGTGCGTCGCATCTATAAATCGACTATAACTGATCCCTCCACGCAAACTAGGATGGTAGGCAAGGGTTCAACAATTTAACTTCGGGAATCTGTCATCTGCCCACACTGTCGAGAATGACATTGTAGGTGCAGAGACTGGCAGTTATTTTCATTCTGGTTCATGATGCGGATGCGCTTGTGGACAGATGAATCGGTGAAGGATTAAATCTCCCCTGGTATCTGCAACTCCAATCCTAGCAGCCAGGAAGCAGCAGGGTTGGTAGAATCTTTTCACTCAACAACCGTCTTCTTCACTGGTCTCTAATCCATTTAAAAATTCTTTGTCATCACTGTAACTCAAAGTTTTTGCCAAAGAACCAACGCAGTATCAATCTTGCAAAGCAGATACGTTCTAAGGTTTGAAGCCACAGTTATACCCGGTAGTTCGTAAAGCACCCTTTGCGACCAAGATGTTTAACATGTCAAAGCTTCCAGGTTGCCTAGCAGACGTGATATTCCAACTCTTTCATAATTGAAACATTGAGCGAAATAGATGAATAGCGTACAGGAGTTGATGAATGATAGAGTCATAAGCAAACTACAATCTTGTCCTCCACTTAAAATTTGGTCTGATCTGGGGCATTCTGTGATAAAAATAAAAACAAGCTTTGCATAAATTCTCGTAGCAAAACCACAAAAGCCTCAACGATCTAGAGAATATCTAAAAGTAGATGTTACACCTAATTATAAATTCAAATTGATGACCTGCTATTGACAAATTGGATAATGAACGATGTGTTGCAACAACACTTCAGAAACACTTAGCCATCAGTTGACATTTTTGAGTTGAATGGGTAAGTCACTACTTGGGTGTGGCATTCTTCTTGGCACTCTGACTTTTCGCATACACCGCAAATCGGTTCAAATCGCCCTGCAAGATACTTTCCACAAGTGGCTTCACACCCTGTCACGGTGCAAGTGTAGAATATATAAGAATAGTCTCCATGAATATCACAAATCGGATAAATATCTTCCAGGACCCTTAAAACTCTTCACAAAATAAGACTGGCCTAACCTGCGCTAAGCAAAGAACCAGCCTTTCTCAGGACGAGGAGAACAGTGAATGTGTCACAGAAAACCTTCGTCGTACACAAAGAGGGAGATTCTCTTTCTCAGCATCAAAGTGAGGAGGAAGGCCACATTTTTCACATTATAACTATCCAACAGAACTCTTATTCTGTTACCTGCTGTTGAGCACTCAACAACAATTGTCAAGACATTGGCGTTCAAGTGGGCATACCGATGCAAAAGGTGCTAGAACATCTGGAACCTCATAAGAGATTGTCAACTGCACACAAAACAAAACAAGGTTCTGTATGAAGAATGCGTGCTATATTGAAATTTAAAAGTTTTAGTTATAAGAAGCAAAAACTAAGAACCATGTGCTAAATAAATGCCACAAAGAACCACATCATTGTGCACACTGGCCAGTCAAATTTATGTTATGGTCTTATCTCGCCATACTAAATGGGACCACTATGCACCAATAATAACAGTAATCTAAATTTGAAGTGCACGACTACAGCAGGTACTCCTAAACTGAAACTGTTCGTGTGAATCGAATGGCTTACTTCAACACCACACGACGTTGGTCCTCTTGGATAGAAACGTACGGCACCCCTGTATGTTATCAATTGCGACAGGGTCAAAAAGGACCACTTACGAAAAAGCCAGTTAAAATTAAACATCGCCTAATTCAAATTGTTTGAAGCATTTGAGAATCAAAATGTCTAGTACAACGAATGTGAAGAATATGCTTCATACCATGTTCCTGTAAGATTCATGATTTGATTCAAAGTTAGGAGACTAAAGTGCACTCATGAAAAAACAGGAGAATTTTCTGTCTTGCACAGTATTAAATGTTTGCAAAGAAAGTGAAACGCACCTGTTAGCAAGTCCATCCACCGAGCGCCAGTGGATTTTTTGATTTTGAATTGGCTGCACAAAAAGCAAACCCCAGCAAGAATCTTCAGACGAGAGTTAAGCGTTGATAGGGAAAAAACTGTTCAAACATTCCAGGACACTTTGTCAGCAAGAACTAGAAGCTAATTGACGTCTTCCTATAAATTGTGTAGTCACATGCAGGAGTGGAAGAAGGTACCTTGAGGAGGCGAGCTAACCAGGAAAACTCCAAATTCTGACCAAATGCTTCGTAACGCAGGGTCCATTTTGACATGTTCGGTTGGTCTTTCAGAACCTGTCTCCGAATATCCATAATCGAACATTACTATTCGACTATACATTACTATATTTTATCCAAAGAAAACAATATATATATATATATATATATATATATATACACACACACACACATATGGTCGTTAGAGTGTAGTAGTAAGCTAGGTACCTTAACCTCCGCAATCCATGGCATCCAATTCACCACGTTTTCTTGATCAGACCACAAAGCCCATGCCTCAGACAACGGTACATCTGCCTCCACTCGTGCACTATACAAAAGCACAGATTTAACACTAATGTTGTTTGCCCTGAATGTGAAACCAGTTTACGTTTCTGAGGCAACACATGAACTACCTCATTGAGAAAGAAATCTTTACGATAGGTTCAGCAGTGGATGTAGTTGTGTTTCCGGAACATCGCCATTTCAAATGCTTGGAACGGGATGAAAAGGTACCCGAGGATTAAGTGTTTGAAACAAGCGATCGACAGAAGAACCTACCAAACGAGATTGCCGCTGTCTAACGGCACAACCGGAGCAAACGCTGTAAATAAATCTAATTCTGCATAAATACGACCAATGGATAGGTAATAACATCTAACACACCCTCTACCGGAACATACCAATATCGATCAACCGTGTTCAATCAGCACTCATGAAATAGCATAAGCACAAGACGAATACATAAAAATGGAATTAGAATCAGGGCTATGCAAAGCTTACGAATTATCGAGCCAGGTACTTGCAGTCCAACGAGCACCAGACCCCAACCTTACGCCCAATTGCTGACCAAAGAGAGACCCCGCCACAGCACCAACCATGATTTTCCCACCTGTATTGTTGAAGGATTTGCAACCCGGCCTTGCACGTCGTTCAAGTGCGTTTCCAGCAGTTCTTCGCAAGACAGACCTAGGGGATCGGCCACAACAAGTCCGGGGGGCACTTACTGCTAATCCAAATACAGGAGGTCCAAAACTACAGCTACTCACAGCTATGGTAGAGACCTCCATCAGGGATTCGCTCACAATTTCTGAATTCAAGGGTTCAAAGGCACTAAAGTAAGATTACAACCTATCACTTCAGGAGGCAATACACAATTCCCAAATACATCAACCAAACCTTGTCAAATCGATTCAAAGGGCTAACACAACCCGGGTTCGAGCTGGACAGTGAAACTAATTTCACAAACAAGACGTTCACAAGGAAAATTCTAAAAAGCCTACAAAACTTTATAAAAATCGTGCAAAATGTGGAGGCCAATTTCTATAAGGTTATCACAGAAACTACAACAACGTTGTGACCGACCACGAGCTGCACTCCATTGGATTGCAACATCAAATTTCAGACTCAAACGCAGCACACGAGTAGCGGCCCCGGCCACACGTCACACGCATCTGCGCTCACACTCCACACTCCACACTGAACTCTCTCCAACCAATAAACACTGCAGCGAGACTGGTACGACTGGAACTCAACCTAATTTATCCGAGTGAACCAAAAGAGAAATTGCAAAATGCGCCAATTCCTTCCTTCCTTTCTTCCTTAAGGATGATGGCGTTGTAAATGCGGACTCTACCATACAAATCTGTTCAACTAAGGTGCCGGAGAACGTGTCTTCGTCGCTGTCCTTTCGAGCGAGCTCTCGGAGCAACGACACAGATTTCCGGATGCCGATGAAAGGAAGGGAGAGAGGGAGACATTCCTGCGCGAAACGGCCCTCGCGAATTTGCATTGCCCGATAGACTGCTGGACAGTTCCGATGTGGAATGTGTTGAGCTGCAGTCCCTTCGATGTTGTGCATTGCACGAATCATCGTCTCGCAATCACCAAATGCCCCCGTTCTCACTGCGTGATGGTGTTTTATTGGCGATTTGTGGATTGTCAAGTTGAATTCAGTTAATTGAACGACTTTTTTTGGTGATGGTACGTAATTATTTTGATTGGTCCATAAATTGCTACATGGTTTTTGATTTTTTTTTGATTTGTTAGTTTTTTTTTGTAGATGTTGTGCATTGAAGAGAACATCAAGGATCAAGATTTGTCATTCATTTTTTTATAGTGACAATACTTATGAAAAAATATACATAAATATACATAAATATATGATAACATATATATATATATATATATAGGTATTTTTGGAGCAATTCTTGATCCTAGATATTTTTATTAATATATTCAAAATTGATATAGATGAATTAATCAAAGAAACCAGGAAAAAAGATTACTTTAAAAAATTATTAAATATTATATTATTTTTTAATTCTAGATTAAATATATTTATATATTACTTTAAAAACAAATTATATAAAATAAAAACCAAATATCCATTTTTTTGTGCTCCTTTTAGTATTTTAAATACATCTTTTTTAATACTGAGATTTATTATATATATATATATAAAGAATTAATGTAGTTTCTTCAAAATTGATTTAGGTAAAATGTTTCCATAATGCAGCTAGAAGTTGATATGTGTGTGTGTGTGTGTTTTTTTTTTTTTTTTTTTTTTTTTTTTTGTTGTTGTTGTTGTTAAAATAGTAAAATATGTTTGGTATAATTTCGTACAAGACATATAATTTGTATTAGATTTCTTGAGAAAAAATGATAAAATAATTACAAAATCAGTTGTTAAAGCTTTAAAAGAAATCAATTAATCAGAAAACAAGTAAATAATTTTAACACTTTAAGATTTTTTATAATTTTAGAATTATGTTTGATATTTGATTGTCAACATATTAAGAAAAGCATATAAAATATAATCTGAGAACTACAATTAAACAAAGAAATCCTTAATAGAATTACTTATTAACAATCAAAAGCAACAAATATAACTTAATTTAATCTATTAAAAATTAAAAATTCGTAGTAGAAAATTAATGTAAAAAAATTCTTTATTTACCAAATTTTATTAAGTTTTTTAAGAAATAAAAAAATATTGTTAAAAGAAAAAACAATATATTTTTATTACATTTTATATTTAATGGAAGGCGATGCTAATTCTTAAATTAAAAATAATTAAAAATATAAATGATATTTTATCAAGATTTATTTACTAATTTATGTGATATATTAGATGTGATAAAATTTTCAAAGCCAAATTCTAGTATAAACTTTCACTCCATTTTTGAGGCCTTAAGAAAAAAAATAGGATTAACATCCTTTAACCAATATTATTTATTGCTAATCAGACCATTAACATTCATCTTTGTTCCACAAACATACAAATTGGTAAAATTAACCAATATTAAAATCTTATAAAATTGCCAATCAACTCCATGAAATCATCAAGTTTCCATAATATATATATATATATATATATATTTTGTGGTACTTCACAGAGAATTTAGCAATTCCTTCATCCCTTCTCCTTGTTTCATTTATTTAATTATTCATTCACTCACTCATTCAGTTGTTTTTTATTTTTATTTTTAAAGCTTCTTTCTTCTCTTGAACTTCTACAGAGGTTTTGATTCATTTGATTTTTTATGAAATGTGAGCTCTCAATTATACTCTAAAATTTAAATTTTTGTTATTTTTCTATTTTATGATAATTAAACATGTTAGATTAGGATTTATATAAGTGGAATTTAGTTTTATAGAATTTTTAGGATTACAATCCTTGATGGTATAAATTATAGCATAATTCCTTGAATTAGGTTAATTAGGACTAAAGTGATAAGAGTTAGAAAATAGCAATTTAGTTAGTTTAATAATTTAGAGGTTGTTAGTCATTACTATAAGGGTTGACTAAAAGCCTATGAGTGCATCTATAATCATTCACATGATTTAGGAGTTGGAATTATAATTCTCTAAAAGATTTAGGGAAGTTAGCAATGATAATTTTGAATTTTCCTCCAAATTCGACAAATTCAAGCGGCATGGTGGTTCTTCTACTTAATGGGAGTCTTTTTTAATACAATGGTGGCATCAGATATACCTCATGGAGTGAAGAAAACAAGATTAGCAACCTCTCCTTCAAAATACAAGAGAAGCAATGAAATTCTCATTTTGAAGAATTTCATAAAAATTGCCAAGATCCTTGTAAGTAAAAACTTCCATGAAAATTACAATTGAGCATGGATTGAGGCATGTGAGTAGTCGATCTTAGCTTAAAAAGGTGTTTTGAACACAACAATGAAGTTAGATTTATAAAAAAAATGCTTTCTTGACCACTTACAAGAGCCATCAACCTTGATAACGAGATTGGCTCTTGGATGAATGAAGGCCGTAGATCTAGATTAGGGATCTTAAAAATCAAGGGTGGAGATGTAGCCACCCTTCTACGAGCCTCCACTCAATTGTATAAGAGAGGCTTGGTTTTCCAAGCCCTCTTTCTCTCCTTTTTTGGGTGAAGGGTGGAGCCATGCCAAAATTTGGCCAAAACCCTAATCTTAATTTTATTTAGATTTTAATTCTCATTGTGAACCTTGTGATTGTGTATGTATGGATTTTTCATTGTGAAGGATGGTCATTAAGTTTTAAAATATGTTTCATTGAGGTAGATATCTCCTCGGCCTTTCAAATACCCCAAGGGTTTCAAGGGCCTCGGATTTTCTTCAATCAGTCACTCAATTTCTGTTGTTTCAATGTGAGATTCTGAATAATTGTAGCTTTTGTTGTTATCTTTCCAACAAGATAAGACTTGCTTGATTTGGAGTAAGAAGGAATTTTTGGTGAATTTTTGAGTTTGATGGAGTCGATTGCCTTTGTAGTTTAAATCAATCGAGTTTGGAAAGGCATTTCTCAGTATTTGGTGATTGGATTTATTTGAAATTTTGGGAGCATCAAGCTTTATAAGCTAAGCTCTGAAAGGCATAAGTTTTGTTGAATTTGAAGATAATCTGAATTTTTAATGAATTTCTAAGAGAAGAGGGTTGGTCACCACGGCAGTTTGGATCACTCAACTTCAAAGGAGGAATTCTCACGACTGGATCATTATACTGCAACGAGGATTGTTGGATTAAAAGCGTCTTCAAGTCAGCCTTGCAACAAGCCAAGAATCATTCAAATTGAAGCTGATTACAAATTTTGACAAATTTTGGAGTAAAAGGAAGTCGTTGCCTTCAATCCTTACATGTTGTCAATGTACCTTTGCTTTCACCTCTCTCACTTTATTTTTACTATCGTCTTCACAGTGACTTGTAAGCTCCACATTTCACTTTTTGGCTAATAAATTTTAAGTTTAACTTTTAATCTTTAAAATTATCACTTTAACTTTTAACTTTAACTTTTAAACTGAACTTTTAATTTTAACTTTTCACTTAACCTTTAATCTTAACTTTTAACTTAATTTTTTTACTTAAACTTTTAATTTTAACTTTTAACTTAACCTTTTAATCTTAATTTTAATTTTAATTTTTTTAAACTTAACTTTTAACTTAGCTTTTAATTCAAACTTAAGTTTTTATTCTTATGGTCAATTAATAGTAATAACTTAGTTAATTATTTTTATTGTGTTTGCATAGTAAATTTCATTTAACATGTTAATTTTATGTTGGTAACCATTGCTTGGAAGGCCTAAAACTAATTGAATTTTTAATATAAGATTTAAATTAATCTAACAATTACACAATTGGGAGCTCTCCAATTCCACCTCTTGGACTTGTTGTGTGGCATAGGTTTCATCAAGTGGTGAAATTTGACTTCACATGAAACACCACACATTTTTTTCCAAATTCTTTTAGATTTTATTTAGGGTCATTTTAAAGTAATTGATTCTCAATTACTTTAATGACCATTCTTGTAACATCTACCAGTTCCAATTATTGTTTGTTTGCTCATCTTCATCACAAAGAAGCTATAATTGTCTAAAAGTTCAACAATTACAGGAGAATCATGTCACCCATGTATTTCAAATCATTCGTTCTTCTGACCGCTCATGGCTTACCACCAATGTCACAAATGCTGTTAATATTTTTTGCTATTTTTATTGTTACTTCAAAAAACAAAAAATCAACATCATAGAAGGAGTGGTTTGTCTTGCCACGTCAACATCTCCATCACACGCTGCTTACTCCAGATTGGACTGAATGTCCCAACACTATGATTCTCTCATGAATGAAAGATTTAATTAAAAAATGGGTTAAATTAAGTTCATGCCGCAGTTTTTTCAGGTGATCATTTTTAGAAGAAACAAACATTGTCTGTTCCAAACCATCAATGCTTATGTCAACCTAACCTTCACTTCTTTGGTCAAGTTTAAGAACACCTAGCATTGCTGAGCACAAAAAATCGACAAAAACATTTGTAAAAGCAAGCATTTGTGTTTCAGATGTGCGTCTATGAATTTACAAGTAAGTTAAATTTATTGATGTCACATTAACCTGCCACTGACTGTTATGTTTTATGTCACAGAATTGAGGCGCTGAGGTTCAAGAGCATTTCGAAATAACAATTAACCCTGAAACGAGGAATACAATTAAACCAATGAATCTCATGTATCCTGGTTCGAACCACACAGAAAATTTCCATGAACATCTCCCTGGTTGTAGTTTACTTGTTTGCGTACATTTGTTCGGCATCTTTCCAATACGTATTGGAAAGATGTCGAACATTGGAAATTTCAGTTCTGAATGCTTTATATCATATTCAAATGGCAATAATCCATTCTCGGATTGGAAAACAAGTCGACAGCCCCTTTTGGTGTGGTACCTAAAAGCTGCGGAATCCTGGAACTCGCGAAGTGTAACTACCTGGCATGTGCTTGCATCTAGTAACTTAAAACAACAAAATGCTTATACCTGAATTGGTTTGTGAAATTTAGCGTGTACCCAAACACGTTTCATGGGGACTTGTTTTCGTCGATTCGTCAACAGCACACAGCAATACTCCAGCTCTTGCTCCACAAAGCCCGCCTGAGTAAAAAGGCTCCTAACCACTTCGAGAGAAAAAAAATACGACAATGTTCCATCTTCTCGTTGGTAGAGACAGCTAGAAATGTGTTGCCTGGGAGCAAATCGTAACATTGTCATGTCATACAGACCATAATCTCGAAAGAGCAATAAACCTCCGGGTTTCAACACCTCAAAGCACTCCGACAAGACATGAGCCATTTTCTCCACTGGGATTGCAGATAAAGTGAAAATCATTGTTACAATGTCTAGTCCTTCTATGCAGCAATCTACAGAGGGATGGCTGTGAAGACTCCTTAACCCTGAACCACCACCACCACCGCTGTGTGAAGCATTAGTCCCTGCCCCGTTTTCAATTCCTTTACTACTAAAGTGGTTCTGAGATTCTGAAGTGCCATTCGCCTCTGCACCGATTTCCTTGGACTGATGATATTTCTGACGACACGCGGAGCAGCGGAGAAAATCTGGAAGCTTACTTGTGGAGATGTCACAAAGGAAGGGATAGAAGGAGGAGGCCGATGATTCACCAGCACCAGTTACAACTTCAGCCGCTTTTCTCAAAGCTGCAGGGCTACAATCGCACGCGAAAACAGTGGCCTGCTTATTAGCTCTAATGATTGGAATTACGGAACTGCCTGTCCCACATCCGACTTCCAAAACAAGCAGAGATTTGCCGGGTTGGCACAGGTCTGGGAACTCCTTTGTTAGATATCGCCGTTCTTTGAAAAAGAGATTTCGCGAATGGCGTGAGTGGAAAGTTTCCCATGAAGTAGATGTCGAAGGGGACTCCTCTCTGTTCCCACAGATGTTCAGACCCTCCTCTCTGTTCCCACAGATGTTCAGACCCTCCTCTCTGTTCCCACAGATGTTCAGACCCTCCTCGACTGTCCCCAAAACCGACGGTGGACTGCATTCCTCCTTAGATGCCAGCAAAGACTCGCGTAAATCCACATTCAGGTGATCATGTTGGTCTGAGGCTTCAAGCATGCGCTTGATTTCATCACGCAGAGCTTCCCACTCAAAGTCCTGACTGTAGTATGCCCCTGCTGACGAAGACTCCTCATCGATACCCTCCATTTCGAAACCAACAATTCGACCTTCGCTAACTAAGCCCTGGCGAAGGCAACGGCGGTGCTGATCCAATAAGGAATTGAAATTAATACTCAAAAAGAAAGGACTAGTTATCAAGAAACAAACAGCCTCATTAGGTTAATTCCGTTCGACGTGTATTCACTTGTTCCTATTCGAAAATCTCCCGCTGTCTCCAATAGGGTCGAGATCCTGTGATTAAATAAGTAATACATTTCTCCCAGCGAATCCAACATCGCTCTGGAAGCTTCCAACTGCAAGGAGCCTCACTTCAACAAACACACCCATTACAGTTGATTCGTCTAACACATACTTCCCATGAACAAGGCACAGGAGGAGCAAAATGAAAAGTCCAACTAAAATTCCCTGCTCCTCGTTCGCGCAAGCATGGGTCCTTGAAAACCCTCGAAAACAGACTCTAAGCTCTCAATCACTTGGTGCTCTCAGACGTCGTTCAAAGCTCTACAAAAACCCTTCAACCCTAAACACATTATCGTCACCAGTGGATTCTATGACCATGAAAGGCACCCACGGTTTTGAGTCTAGCATTTAGGATTTACGGATTAGCATCTGTACCCGGGGTGTGTTGGTTTCAAGGTTCATGGGATTAGGGTTTTGCATCATCGGTTAATGAATGCGGGTTTGGTGATGAGTATCGAATCTGCCTGTAGAGCTTTGCGGCATTGAATTGTGATGTTGTAGGGGCGTGCAAGAATATGGCGACTAAGAAAGCTACGCCCGTGACAAGGGGCCAGAAGGTACCAGGGCAGAAGAGCTTGGAGGTGGTATGTGTGGTGTCAGAAACATGGCTTTCCACTTCTCCAGATTTTATCAGTATACAAGTTCTTCTTCTGAATATCTGTTCTCAGCGTCGGTAGTTACCACAGAATCGCCACTTGACTATTTTCTTGTAAAGAATTGTTGGAGCACATCAACATGTTGGTAGGATTACTGGCCTTGGGATGTCAACAAGACCAAATCTAGCCACGTAGGCATCATATTATATGGCCACTAGTTAAGTTGGAGACTTGCAAGTAGAATAGGGCGATGATCATTCAGTTTTTGGAGGCACCACACCGACCAAGTGATCATAGTAACAACTGTAAAATAGCAAATCTAGAGAAAATAGTGGCAGCAAACCCAAGTGGTGGGTTCATATTAATAAGTCCAATTTCATTGAATTCAATAATAAAGTCAATAGCTTCATTCCACATCCTTGTCTTGGATATGATTCTATTTTGTTCCAGCATGGTATCATAGCAGGTTGCAACTTCCTACAACACAACATTTCAATACTTGACAAAATATCTGTTTTAAGAAGATGGAACCTTCTACAAATATGAAGAGGATCACATGACTGACATTGAACTAATATTTTCAAATTCTTGAATTCACAAGAGAAATACAAAAGGAAAGACAATATGCTATAGCAATTCAATGAACCATGTCACCAAACATGCCTCATTCAAGCCTAAATGAGCCAAAAATTGTTTTTATTTATTTATTTATTTATTTTTATTGACACAACGAAAGTTATATTTCTATTGTTAGTAATTTAAAATTTATAAATCCCAACCAAGTTTAGTGAGGGATATTATATATTTATCTATGTATGTTATAAATATATTTATTTTAATAATTATTTAGGTAATATGAATAGTTAAAAGTAGGTAAAAATAGATTAGTTTGATAATATCTTGAAGAAAAGCTTCATAGATGCATATTTACCTTTATACATGTCTATAGGTGATTGATAAGTTAAAAACTTTGCCAACAAGTTAACCATGTGTTACATGTATTAGTAGCTTGTGCAACAAGCTAATATCACAGACATACATATTTACTATGATATTTATTTATATGATTAAGTAGAAGTAGGTAAAAATAGATTCATTTCATAATATTTCCTAGAGAAGCTTTTTACAAGATCTATAGATGTTGCTTTGACTTTACATGTGTTTGTAGTTGATTGATAGGATAGAAACTTCATCAATAAATTAATCATATGTTAGTAGCTTGCACAACAAGCTAACTATGTGGCATATATATAAAAAACTTGTCTTGCAAGTTAAGATATGTGTCTTGTAAAGTTAACACGTTTTGGAAGTCCTGTAGGATATTGCCATATAGCTCCTAGTTAAGAGTATATGTAGAGGCAAGAGTGAAGCCTTCTTTACTCTTATCAACACCTTTCTAGTCCTTAGTCTTGTTTCAAGACTTTCTAATCTTCTTGTCTTTGGCAATAGCCATTCCACTTTAATACTATATCATCTTTGAATGATTTTTCAATCTTTTTGAGTATCACAAGAATATATTGATATTTTAGTTATTTGAGGTCATGCCCTTGATAGCTTGAGAAGAATGTGAACTTTTTATTTTTTTCTTGTTTTAGAAGTGAGTGGATTACTCTACTTCTATTATTGTATTTTGAAAGTTATGGATTATTTACCTTTAAACAAACTATTTAATTTTCTAACATTTTTATTTATTTATTTATTATTATTTTTTAAAGAAAGCAGATTATCCTTTTTTGTGGAAATTTTTATTTAATATTAGAGGTTGCGGACTACCCTCCTTTAATTTGACTTATGAATTTGTTAAGTTCTTCAAAATAGAAGAAAAAATCATAGATGCTACACTTGATAAAAGTATGAATAGATTTGCAACTATTATAGTAGAGCTTTACAAATTTACTAATACTCTTAGAATGGAAATTTCACACATCACTAGTGCCAACTACGAAAATACTAATCTTATGCCTATGGAAGAAGTTCAAAACCTACGAGAAGAAGTTATACAATTGAAGGAAGCAAGAAAATTGACCTTACAACCAAATCTAGAAAGTTTTGCTTTTACAAGTACAATAGGGATATAGATTAGTATGCTAGATAAGTTTGATAGAATAAGATCAAAATTTTGATAATTTTTGTAATAAGTCAAGTTCTATTTAAGGTTGCATTTCTTTCAATACTCTCATGGATTTATTCAAGTTGGATTCATAGACACACTTCTATTTGGAAATGCTCTTTCTTGGTTTGTACCTTAAATGAAAAAGGATTTGTGATTCCTTTATGATTTGAATTTATTCCTAAAAGTATTTATAGCTACATGCAAAGAAAGTGAGCAAAAAAGAGTAGTAGTGATGAAGCTCTTATCTTTATGACCAAGATCACAATCAGCCTTCAAATATATTGCTGAATTTTAAAATATTGATTATAACGTGGACTAAAATGACAAAGCCATTGTCAATCAATTTTGATATGGGTTGAAAGATAATATCAAAGATTTTTTTATTGATAATATTCAAGATAGAATCTTTGGAATAATTTATTGCTCAAGCCATTATATGTTACAATCAATTATTTAAAAGGCATTAAGAACAAAGACTTGGTTAGAGAAGAACAAGTCAAGTAATGACAGTGGTTCTCATTTTTTTAGAAATTTATGCATTAAGGCCAAAACAAATACAAATTGATTCAGTACGTTTTAAACTCCTCACGGAGAAGATTTGACGTTGTTAAGAGAGTTTATACTTATATTGTAGAAAAAATAAGCACATTGCTCAACATTATCTAAAAGAAGAAATACAATCACAAAATGAATGTAACAAAGTATAGATAAGATATTTGTATTATTGACACATAAAAATACATAGTTGGAACCATGGAAGTTTCTAAAATTGAGATTAGGTTAGTAGATCAAGAAGGATCTATCATAGAACATTTTAAAAAAGATTTAGGATAATTATCTAACTGGGGCCTACAATAGAATCTTCTAGAAGGAATTTAAAGCAGTCATCTAAATAGGGTCCAACATCTAGAAATATTTTAGAAAATCTAAAGTGATAGAATAAAGTATAAATAGGATTGGTTAGGGCCTTTTGGAGAATTTGGTCAAGTATGGCTTGGGACCCTTTTTCTTAATAAATTTAGATTTTTTATCTTCTCATTTTGTTATGTTCTATTCCAATTCCAATCACTGAGCTTTGTCTTTTATATACTATTCTATTTAGTTCTATTTAGTTTTATTTTGATTTAGTTTGTTCTATCTTCTGATGAAATTTTATGTTGCTATGGATTAAAAGGGTCTTAGACACTTGAAATAGATTGGTCCTATTTCATTGGTATCAAAGCAATTCTAAGACTATTTTTTTTAGCAATGTAAAAATAGTCATCATTTAGTCCAAGATCAATTGTTATGGTTATATTGGATATTATGTTGAGGCTATCATGAGTTATTCTTAAAAAGTCCATTGGAAAGTGAGAAGGCATTATAATAGTGGAGTCTAGTAGACAAATTACAACATGAGAGATATGGCAGAGCAATCTCAAATGGAGGCTCAAATACAACACCTCTTACACTAGATAGCTACTTTGAAAGGGCAAATAGAAGCCACAAGGACAAGAGAGTCAATATTTGCTAGGCTGAAATTGAATTAGCCTAATACATTCTGTGGGACTTCAAAACAAGAAGATATATGTCAATGGCTCTTTAACATGAAAAAATACCTCCAATTATCTATGGCAGATATTACTAAAAGAATTATATATCTAGCCAGCTATTTGAAAGATATGATAGCTATTTGGTGGTAACATTGAATTCAAAGCTATAGAGCTTAAAGTGAATTTTGTGATTGGGAGGAGTTTGAAATTGAGTTTAGAAATCAATTTTGTTTCATTAATGGGAAAAAAATAGCATGTAATTAATTGGCCAATCTTACACAATCTAGGTCAATACAAGATTATGTCTCCTAATTCAAGTCTCCATATCTCTAAATTCACAATGTTTTAATAGCAAAGATGATAGATCGATTTGTATGAGGTTTGAAATCTAGGGTCTAGCAAGAGATGGAAGTAAGAAATCCACAAACATTCAAAGAAAAAATTTAGATTACAAAGAGGGTTAATGCTATATATTTCTTAATTTGTAGAGCACGACCTAAAGCACAAAGTCTTATGCTACTATCTAATATTATGACATAATAATCAATATCAATGGAAATTGATGTCTTACAAGGATTATTGATACCTCAAAGACAACAAGTATTGGTGCAAAAGGGTTTGTATTTCTATTGTTGGAAGCTAAGCCATCAGATTGGAGGTTATCCAAAATGTCAAAATTCAAGCATTAGTAAAACAAGGCATGTTTACAATCTTGAAACTCACTAAGTTGATAATGAAATAGAATAGAAAAATGGGATTCCTCAATAAACGTGTTGAAGGCCAGTATTGGAAATATCTACTATTTTTCAAAGACAAATGGTATGGCCTTAGATAACTATAAAACAAGTCGACTAGTGCATCTAACTAGACTACTAAGAAGAAAATCATGTTGAGTGTTTGTAGATTGTGGTTCTATAAAAAATTACATCTCAACTGAAATTATTGATTAAATTAGAATCAAAACTAAGGCAATCAAGAGAAGAAACACATCCCTGATAAATAACTAAGAGAATGCATTGAGTGAGATATGTGAAGAAGAAACCTTGAGATTGTTTGACACTTATGTCTTAAGAGAGAAGTTCAAAGCGATAAAGCTAAGATATGATGTTATTCTTAGTATGCCATGGCTAGAGATGGAAAATAAGTAAGTTGATTGGATAGCAAAGATGATCTCTTTTAAAGATGGTGGATGCAAGGTGACTCTTCACATCTTTGCATCAAGTAAAGAAGAAAGATAATTTGTAATCTAAGTCTTGTTCATAGAAATGATCTTTATAGAGTAGCAAATACAATATAAAAAACTAGTATATATGGTAGTTCCAAATCTTATATAAGTAATAGAAAACACAATTGAAGGAATAGAGGGGGTAG